TCTTACTGGTGTTAATTTGAAAGGTCGCGCATTATGTTTCTGATAAAACGATACCTTAGTCCACTTCTCCTCGTCTGTATTGTTAATTTCACAATAACGATATGATACACATCTACTTTCATAATAATGCACTATAATACATTCATTATAGGACAGAATTCATATATAATGGGTATTTATATAGGCTATATCCATCCCATATGCATGCTCAAAGCGCTCCTTGTTTTTTCCTCGATCATTGGGTGTCAGTCTCAGCGGCACGTCATATTATCGATCTCAACTCCCTGGCTCACCGAGTTAATGTGACTTTCCCATCCTTTCGATGTACCCATTCACAGCTGGGTGGACTGGGACACACGGTCACAGTATATTGTTCAAGTTTACTGCACGTTGCTGATCCCCAACTAGGTATTTGCACGTATTCATGTGGCCACCATATGGTCATTTACCAACGGATTCGTGGGTTCTTTTAAGTGCACAGGGTTGTGTACTGTACACTATAGGGGTTGTGACAGCACTGAAAGATTCTGCACACAAGGAATACTCATAGGTTTTTACACCCGGTCACAGGTGGGTTCGGACCCGGTACCCTATAATCTAACATGGAATACACAAAATGGCGTTAACCAAAATCAGTCGCGCAAGGACATTCGAGCCTTTTAGATCTTTTTGTTACAGGTCACTTTGACCTCAGTGTGATTTGAAAGAGCATGCATAGTTAATGTATCGCCTCTCGATGTGTTTTGAAAGTCATTGTTTACGTCGCGCTTATAGGCAACCTGACAAACACGGTAGGCAGAATACCGCACTAATAATGATGCAATCAACTGGATTCCCGTGGAACTGGTAATACACACGCTTGATCGATTTTATGACTGTATTCATTCTCGACGAATGTTATATTCCCTCGATAAAATGAGTACGTCGTTGTGTTGCAACCAACTCATTTCTTGAGAAATGTCTTTGTACTGAAGCTGAACGGTTTCCCGTTTAAACTTCATCCTGTGGAACCGATGGGAGTACATAGGACATATAGACCTGGGTGTCATGTGCTGTGGGTCCGACTACGCCAAACTAGATAAAAAGAAACGTGATGCAAAGAAAAACAAAATAGGACTTGAAGAAAAAACACTTTTGTACATATACGTGTTTGTATATATATGACTGATACATCTAACCTCAAGCAGACCTTGGTTCAGGTTCGTTAAGAAAGGTACATGTCACTCACTTTATGTTGTTGTAACACACGTCAAACAAAGATGCACCTACATATCTGAGTTTGCAAAAAAAACAAATGTCATTTGAAATTTACAAAGAAAACAGTATGTGAAATGCTGCACTTTCTCATTAAAATTTAGGAGTAAAACATTTCGACAAGAATTAGGCATCCCCATGGGCACCAATTGTGCTCCCCTCCTTTCGGATCTGTTTCTTTATGCATCAGAATTTCTGCTTGGGTTGGTAAAATCAAAACAAAGCTATTTAACCAAGAAGTTTAACTTAAGATTCAGTTATTTCAGTGATTTAATATCGTTCAATAACCATCAAATCGCCAATTGCCTTCCACTGATTTACCCACCTGAACTTCAAATTAAGGTGACAAGTGAGTCTGTCTCAACTGTTTCATATTTAGATCTATGCATAAAGTTCCCGTGAAGGTCCGGGTGAGAATGTGCCTTCAGTATCCCATGCTTGTCGTAAGACGCGACTAACGGGATCGGGTGGACAGGCACGCTGACTTGGTTGCCACATGTCATCGGTTCCCAATTGCGCAAATCGATGCTCATGTTGTTGATCACTGGATTGTCTGTACCAGACTCGATTATTTACAAACAGCCACCATATAGCTAGAACATTGCTGAGTGCGGCGTAAAACTAAGCTCACTCACTCTATGCTTAGAGATTCAGAGTGACAATAAAAACCCCACTCTCCACAAGGATATATGACAAACGGGATCGTTCAGCTTTCTAATAGTCAGCTTTCCTTTCATGTCGAGCAGTATTAGAACAGCCCCAGCCTTTGTTGTTTAAATTTCACAATTTTGGATATACAATCGAGCGTGCTCTTTTTATCAGGATTTCAAAGGTCGTCATGTCAGTCTTGCTCAGGAGTTGTTTGATCAAGGTTACAACATTCGTGGCCTCAGTAGAGCTGTCAACAAGATTAATGCTGGACATGTGGAGGAAGTTTCTAAATTTGATGCATCAGTGACAAAAATGATGGCCGAAGTATTTCCGTATTTTGACTTATACCATACGTTCCCGAATTATTTCAGGTGAACAGTTAACTAGACTCAACATATGTTTATGACTGGTGCCACCGGTGGGGCAGGATACACTGACCTTTTCGCGAACACCTGGTATCATCCGTATATCAAAGTGATTCATAAACACATGCTCTGTCATCGCATCGCATAATGACAATCACTGGAATGTCTGGTTCAGACCTGATTGGTTTACAAACAACATCATACAGCTGTAATGCTGCTGAAACAAATATCGATATCGTACAATCGACTCTGCCTTTGGCAGATATTTTTATGAAAGTGGAAAAGGTTTTTGTAGCTTCTATTATTCTTTTTAGTTTCTTGTGCCATACACAGGACAATGACATGTAGGATGTTGGAACATAGTCTTGGCGACTCACGTGAAAACTGTGATCACAAATCGTGCTAAAAGCGTGAAACACAACAATCACGTGCAGCGTCTTACTAGATCACCATTGTGATTGCACCTGTATTGGAATTGCATTTGCTTTGAAACTGCAAGTTGAATAAAAAAGCGAGTTTGCCGTCATCCACACATTATCAAGGTAAGTGGGTGATGGATAGGCTGAAGGCTGAAAAATCCTTTGCGGCAGCCCTGGTTTTAGAACTTATTCTGGAGACCTGTAAGTTCCCAACGGGCATTGTTGCAGATCACCCTAGGCCCGAGGCACTAGGCGTATCGTCACACCAACATGACGTACAAATAGGTTACAAAAGATTTCTGGCTGCATTTTCCACTAGCTGACAGCTGTTGTTCAGACGTTAAGAATGTGTTGTGGGATAGCCTAGTGTTTAAAGAGTGTTTCGAAAGTGTTTGTTATGTCCAGTCAAAAGGTTAACATGACCTCGCAAAGAACAATGCACGACTGTGATCGAACAGTCAATAACGCTGGATCGATTAGTGAGAAGGTGGGGAACAACGTCAGATATGTAGACGTGTCTGTATGGCTGGGGACATCAAGTGGAGGACAAAATGAAGCCTATTGACCTTGCTCTAGGGCTGGGTAGATCAAGGTAACGATGTGTCACTACATGTGACATGTATACCTGGGTGTAGGGCTGGGTTGATCAAGTTGAAGGCGTGGGACTACATAGGACATACAAGCCGGATGTAGGGCTGGGTAGATCAAGGGGAAGTTGTGGGACTACATTGGACATATAAACCTGGGTGAAGGGCTTGGTAGATCAAGGTAAAGTTGTGGGACTAAGTGAGACATACAGACCTGGGTGTAGTGCTGAGTAGATCAAGGTGTGGAACTACATGGGACATATAGACTTGGCTGTAGGGCTGGGTAGATCAAGGTGTGGGACTACATAGGACATATAGACCTGGATGTAGTGCTGGGTAGATCAAGGTGTGGGACTACATGGGACATATAGACCTGGATGTAGGTCTGGGTAGATCAAGGTAAAGGTGTGGGACTACATGGGACATATAGACCTGGATGTAGGGCTGGGTAGATCAAGGTAAAGGTGTGGGATTACATGGGACATATAGACCTGGATGTAAGGCTGGGTAGATCAAGGTACAGGTGTGGGACTACATGGGACATATAGACATGGATGTAGGGCTGAGTAGATCGAGGTAAAGGTGTGGGATTACATGGGACATATAGACCTGGATGTAGGGCTGGGTAGATCAAGGTTAAGGTGTGGGATTACATGGGACATATAGACCTGGATGTAGGGCTGAGTAGATCAAGGTAAAGGTGTGGGATTACATGGGACATATAGACCTGGATGTAGGGCTGGGTAGATCAAGGTTAAGGTGTGGGATTACATGGGACATATAGACCTGGATGTAGGGCTGAGTGGATAAAGGTTAAGGTGTGGGATTAAATGGGACATATAGACATGGATGTAGGGCTGAGTAGATCGAGGTAAAGGTGTGGGATTACATGGGACATATAGACCTGGATGTAGGGCTGGGTAGATCAAGGTTAAGGTGTGGGATTACATGGGACATATAGACCTGGATGTAGGGCTGAGTAGATCAAGGTAAAGGTGTGGGATTACATGGGACATATAGACCTGGATGTAGGGCTGGGTAGATCAAGGTTAAGGTGTGGGATTAAATGGGACATATAGACCTGGATGTAGGGCTGAGTAGATAAAGGTTAAGGTGTGGGATTAAATGGGACATATAGACCTGGATGTGGGGATGGGTAGATCAAGGTAAAGGTGTGGGATTACATGGGACATATAGACCTGGATGTAGGGCTGGGTACATAAAGGCTTTACCTTTGCATATATGTTCAAGTTTTATCACTGTATTAGAGCCACTGAGCATCAGTGGATATTAGACGCTTTACAAATGTATTATAATTATCAATAAAGGAAGTTGTATATCAATAAAAATGTCATCATTCTTCACTTATATACTCGTCTATAAGTTTTCATCACATGTCACCTATCATTGTGAAATAACAATTCACATTCTAAAGTGTTTAACCCCAACAGAATAGATGCCGGAATCGGACCGCCATACAATAACGGGATTATGTCTTGACTCCCGTCCTTATGCCATTCATGAAACTACATTGTAATGAACGGACATTTCAACTTACAACATTATGTCTCATCCTTCCTTTCTTGTGCAGTACTTCTTACGTAAGTGGGACACATAAACCTGGGCATATGGCCGGGTTGATCAAGTGGAAGGTGTGGGACTACATGGGACATATAGATCTGGGTGTAGGGCTGGGTCGATCAAGGGAGGGTGTGGGACTACATGGGACATATAGACCTGGATATAGGGCTGGGTAGATCAAGGTAAAGCTATGGGATTACATGGGACATATATACCAGGATGTAGGGCTGGGTAGATCAAGGTGTGGGACTACATGGGACATATACGCCTGGTTGTAGGGCTGGTTAGATCAAGTGGATGGTGTGTGACTACATGGGACATATAGACCTGGATGTAGGGCTGGGTACTTCAAGGGGAAAGTGTGGGACTACATGTGACATGTATACCTGAGTCGTAGTACAATAATGGTTCTGCCTCACATGCAGGTTATATGTTTATTGAATTCTGATTGCTGTCCTACGGTAGGGTAAAAATGGGTGGATGGGTTGTTTGAGCATCGGGGGATGCGTCCTTGTTTTAAAGTATTTTTTGAAAAAAAAGTGTTTTCTTCAGGAATGGGATAGAATTGAACGCCCAAACTCAGTAATCAACGTCTAGCGTGTCCCCTTTTCACCGGCAGACTGGCCCTGCTGGTATGAGTTCATTAAAGCTATAAATAGCTTATACGCCTTCCAACCTGTCGAAAGTTATGGCTCCGAGCGACATGCAACTGAAGATCCACAAAGTGGTTGGCTACAATAACGAAAAGCTGGGCGTCAACCCCGATGTTAACATGAGTCACGTCATACCGCCAACGAGTAGCGGTGAAATGGGGATCGTGACGTCACCACCATCTAAGGTGCCCAGCGTTCAAACCGAACTACACCCATCGGTACGAGAAATTGATGAAAATCAGCAACACATCAATAGTAAAACAGCGCTCATGGTCGGTGGAATCGCGGACGGACTGTGTCTTATCGGATTAAAAATTCTTTACCAGACCGACCACAGCGACGACGAACGCCCAATCGTTTTGACCGAACATCGTGACCATTTTTGACAAGAGGCCTAAAAACCAGGAAACGATGCTACCCAAGATGCCCATTTGAGGTGGTAAAGAAAGCACACCACCACCAAGTCGAAGCACACCACCACCAAGTCCAACCCCAATAGGCGGCAGCAGCGACGTCAGAGACTGGATTAAAAGACATTTGAAATCACTCGGGGAAGCCTTGGCTAAACTGGATGGCAAAGCCTCTGAAGCTCTGCCGGCCAGTTTAGCCAAGGCTTCCCTGAGTGACTTCAAATGTTTTTTAATCCAGACTCTGACGTTGCTGCTGCCGCCTATTGGGGTTGGGCTAGGTGGTGGTGTGCCTCGACTGCCTCCACCTTAACTAACCGTCAGCGAGACGACCAGGGTCGATATAATAAAGCCCCAAATCGTCAGAATGTTGGCGACAGTGAACCTTTGTTCTCTGAATAGCGTCTAACGTGGTGTCTTCATAGAGCACTTGGTCGATGGTTTCGCGAATGCAACTGATCTGGGTTTCTCGGTTGTACGCCACCGCTTCTAATCGGGCTATGTACCGTCTTGCAAGTGACGAACCCTTGCCTTGACCCCGTGTTGGATGATGTCATCCTCTGCTTGTTCGAGTTTTGTTTGCTCGTAAGCGATACGATCGTTGAGTACTTTCACTTTGGCCATGTTGACCATGGGCGATCGACGAATGGTTCGCAAGCCCTTGTCGAGCCTTCACAGTTCCTGAAGGGGAAATTCTAAGCCAGGCAAGGGTTCGTTCATGTATGTGGCCAATATTTTTCCGATGTTATTTGATGTTTCTTGCATGCATTGTGGAACATCTCTCAAATCATCCTGACAGATCGCACTTGCCAAGGCATCATGCTTAGTGTTCGCTTCTCGTAAAGTCTTGGCAAACTTCCCGCTCATATTTTGTCAATAGCTCATTATATTTAATTGTTCGAGGACAAAGTGGGCACCGCGGCGACCGGCCAGCATAGAAAAAGTGAGAGGTTTTCTTGTACAGGCATGCATGAGATCGATGTCTGGAGCCTCTTTCAACTGTAGTATCCCTTGATCATCAATTTCGAAGTTTGAATGATTGCAATAAAGAGGAGCAATATTTTCCTATTCCCCTAGGGCATCATAATAATCGTCTGTGGCTGTATGTAATATGGTACCGCCTATGCTTTCACTCGCGTCATCATCATTGAGCAATTGTGTTCTCTTACCCCACTAATCGTCCATGGGACTTTCTTTACCACCTTCAGCCAAGGTTCTGTTATGTTAAAGATATAAAAACATACTTTCAATATAGACGATGGCATACAGACGAAAACTAGATACGTTTCGGAAAAGAAAGGAAGTAAGAAAGTATAAAAAATATATAAAATGGCTTCGATTGCCTTGATGGTTGGTGGGGCATTAGTCAACGCCCTGGCTTTTTCGGGGAGCAATTACCTTTTTTCTTACCTACAAATATCGAACGCGGCCGAAATCGAAGCGGAAGGAAATGTCACGATTTAGCCATCGGAAAATTACAAGCCTCACAAGCCTACTACGTAAAAAAATGCATGCAGAGAATTTGTTTTATCCATGACCAACTCCAGCGAGAAAGTCACGCTGCTTGTACGTTTAAGGATGTGGACGAAGCCATGCACGTGTATTATCTCGTCATCAGCAAACCGCTCGAACCTCTCAACGAGCAACCCACCCTTTCTGAGTATTACACACTTTCTCCGGAACAGAAAGACAGGCAGAAAGACAGGGAGCTGGTCTTCGTTGCACTCGGTTTAGCTGTGACTGTGTTGATTGTTCATCAATTAGACTAACGTATATCTAAGTGCATATAGCGGAGATGAGACCCGCTCGGTGTCGTTGTCAGTGCGTGCTTCTGGGAAAGGCTGAGACTTGCGGCAAGAAATGTAGGACAGACGAGTACAGCGGCATACACAATGTCTATCAGAAAAGGTTTTCTGAATTACACATGCTCGGTATGTGGTATTGGAGTGAAATCTCATTATGGTTTTGGCAAAGTCCACGGAGCAGACGTGGTCCGAAACCAACTGATTTATGAGAAGAAAAAAAGATTATCTCAACGAATGTAACCGACTACTCAGAATAAAAAAAAGGAAAAAAGAAAATTTTGAGCCTATGAGACATTTGTCTTTGCATGTGGATATAGCATATCAATTAGACATTTGACTTTGCAAGTGGATATAGCAATCATGACAACCATCAGCGAACTCAAAGCTATTGCGAAAGAATGTGGATTGGGTGGTTATTCTCGCATGAGGAAAGCCCAACTCGTCGCCTGAAAACCAGAATGTACTTAGTCACAAAAACCTATTTTCGAGTAATTCGATCTTGAAGTTTAGAACAACAATATCTTCTAAACTTTTCAATCAAATTCTTTCAAATTTTGCACATGCATGTCACATGTTAAACAGTATCACAAAATATGAAATTACATACTGAAACTCTTGAAGTAAATAAGAAACACACGCACAATGATTTGAGATAGAACACTTGAGCGAAGAAAATCGTGATTTTTCTCAAAGTGTTCTAGGTGTCAAAAAACACAGCTGAAACTCAGCTTAATTATTATTATATCGATATTTGATTGTTATTTCTGTATTACCAGGTTGTATTTTGTCGTTTAAAGCTGTTTTACTTTCATGAGGACTACATTTAATTAAATACAGCAGAAATAGAAACAGAGTTAAAATGTTCCATTTCCATGATGACAATCGTTTCAAAATTGGTAAATCTCAATGTAACGTGATCAAATTGTGCTTGCTAATTGGTCGATTGACAACTTAGAACACTCGAAATTTAACAGCATGTGATTTTTCATGGAGATAGAACAAAGTTTGTGTTTGAAAAACCAGTTTCAAAGCTAGATAGCACTGTAAAAAGTTGCTAGAGTAATAAATTATGCTCGAAAACCTACCCTGAGCACACTAACTCTAAATTTGTCAAAAGTGAACTTGAAACACTCTGGTTTTCAGGCGACGAACTGCTAACCTTGCTCGACATGAAATATGTCAAGCCCCCTACTTTACGAGAACTCAAAGTTCGAGCTAAAGAACGTGGGTTGAAGGGTTATTCAGACCTGAGGGAAGCCCAACTGGTGGTATTGCTGGAAGACACCGAGCTGGTCAAACTGGGATTTGTGCCGACAGAGAAAGCTGTGTGTAAGTATCTGAGAGGATGGAAAATGACTGTACAGTCTGACATTGACGTCAACAGCATCAAACCCTGATCTCACGGACAAAGTCGATGAGGAGTTGAATGATTTGAAAAAGTATCAAATACAAGCTCACGATTAAGATAACGGTCCAAAACCCCAGTCGAATCACACTACCGAGTACATCAAGCCTTATTTCAGAGGCAAACAAGAAGTCATATTTCAAGTCGACTCTATTGAAACATCAATCGATGCATCATTCCAACAGATACAGGAAACGATGGAACAATTGACTCATATAGGTGTGTTGGGGAGTATCGATACCATCTATAGTGAACTACAGGCCATTCAAACGTGGATCATACGTAGACTTGCCTTTGTATTAAAAGAATAAAAAGCCATCGTTAACGTTAAAACAACGACGATAACTGCTTAAGATGAGATCTGAGACCTTATTTCCTGTTGATTCTAAAATTGTGAACAGACCTTCGAGCTATCCCACAGACGATTAGCTTAACTTTGAGTGTATAGACGCACCACACCCATCTCTCAAATTGTGCATATTATAGAATAATGAAAACAAAACCATTTAGCCATCAACGTGTTTGGCCACGAAGGAAATAAACCCATTGTGCACCGTATCAGCTACCAGTCCGATGATGTGTGCAGAGTGAATTTATTCCTAATCAAAAAAGGCGACCAGTATCAATACACATGGATGAAAAGTTTGAGCCAACTGTTGTACGACCAAACCAATCACGCCAGAAAGAAACATTTTGTTCTATGTCAGCATGGCTACAGTCGAGAAGACTTGCTGGAAGCGCATAAGGAAGACTGTAGAGGTTTGGGGAGACCGCGATCAGAATCGACATCCCTGAGGAAAATGAGAACATCTTAAAATTCATCAACCACAAACATCAAATGTCCGTGCCCTACGTCATCTATGCTGACTTCGAAGCTCTCATCAAACAGATTGAACACACCACGCCTAAAACAACAGAAAAAAAACATCCAGGAACAAAGTTTCAGGTATATGGTCGTCCAATGCGACAGACAAACGAATGCTCCCATGAATCGAGGTGCATGAAACAACGAAGAGAGAAAAATCAGTGCCCCTATGGATACCGAGGCGCCGCTGCTACGTGTAACCAACTCCTGAACGGGGACTGTGAAAAATCATTGTAACGATACCGAGGCGCCGCTCACAAATGTGTAACTTAGAATGGATCCCAAAACCATCACAATCCACATGGTGTTTCACAATTTGGAGAGGTTATGATGCCCACCTGATCATGCAGGCCATCTCGAAGATTGAGGAGGAAGTTAACATGCACCCCCAACAACATGGAAAAATACATTGCCTTCTCGCTCAACGGTCTGAGATTCATTGATAGCGCTCAGTTTCTCCCTCAACAGTTTGGTAAGGGCCAACGATACCTTCGCCATGCACCAACGTGGCGATTCGGCCTCTGCTGTTAAAAAGGGTTTGTACCCATACGAGTACATTCACGATTAATCTAAGTTCGAGGAGACATGATTACCGCCCATGGACTGCTTTTACAGTGGCTTAACCGACTCGACCATCTCCCAGAAAGATTACGATCACGCCCAGAACGTGTGGAGACTAACTGAACTGTCAACATTTAGGCGATTATCACAATCTCTACTTGAAAACGGACGTACTGCTGCTGGCCGACGCTACATATGACAAATAGCCATATCAAACTCAATCGACCCGTCTACGTGGGGATGAGCATTCTCGACTTATCCAAACACTTGATGTATGACTTTTATTATAAAATAAACTTAAGACACAATACGGTGACATGTGCGATGTGCTCTACACCCACACGGATTCCCTGTTAATGGAAATTCGTACCGAAGACGTTTTCGAGGACATGGCCGAAAGACATCAACCTGTACGATACGAGCGATGATCCGAAAGAGCATCCTTTACACAGCCAAGTCAACAAAAAGTGCTCAGCAAGATGAAAGACGAATGTGCTGGGACACCCATCGCAGAATACGTTGGGTTAAGACCTAAGATGTATTCCATCAAGAAAGCCGACCACGATGAAATCCGAAAGGCTTAGGGGGTGAAAAACTACCTCGTGACTCAGCACATCAAACACACCCTCTTCAAACAGGCTCTCCTCAAGAATCAAACGTTGAACATGTTGAGAAGCGACGGGCACAGGATATACGGACAAGATATCAGCAAGATGTCTCTGTCGCACATGGATACCAAACGATGGATTTCAAACGATGGTATCCACACTTATGGCTATGGATATCAACAGTCTGTCTAGACCTCGACTAGGTGGGAGTTTCTAATACCACCTATAAAAGAAACTTCACTAGGCACGTTGAGGCCTAGACAGTGTATTATGTCCCTAGTGAAAAACAACAACAATTAAACGGACAATAGCATCTACATAAGCCCTACAGGGTAACTGGAAAGGCACGGGCGCCATCCCGAAGTTAGCCAAAGCCGCTCGAGTCTCCGAGGATACCACCAAAGCTTGGCTTAAAAACAAGCTTTCTGGCAAGTTTACCTGCCGGCTCCCTGATACATCCCGAGAAGAAAGTTTGACATTGCAATACCATATCATATCCGTCAAGCCGACATCCTGTTATAGGGTTAGAAACAAAGAGTATAAACAAAGAGTATAAGTATCTATAAACTCAGTCGCTTGATCTGGACGACCGAATTACAAGCCGATCCAGGACACGAGTTCATGGGAGCTGTATCACAGCTGTTATCGAAAGCATGAATTTCAGGTGAGACAAGGCGTGGCCGAAGCTCACCGAAGCCAAGCCATCGTCGAAAGGTTTAACAAGACTTTAGCTGAGCGTTTGTCTGGACATCAGTATGCCCAAGACATGGTAAACCCCAGAAGCAGAAATACGGAATGGGTCGTGTGCATATCGCGAGTGGTGTCGGCAATCAACAACGAAGTCACTAGACTCATACATAAACGACCTGTTGAAGCCATTAAAATGAAATCTGTAACGACCGAATCAGCTGCACCATCGCGTAACGGAAAAAGAAAAACTACCGGACCGGGTCGTCGTGAGGTATCTGTACCAGCCCTGGTGAACTCAAAGGAGGGGATAAACGTTTTGCCACAGACCCTGTATGGTCCGTTAAAACGTATCTTATCGATCGGGTGGATATCAAAGAAGATGAACCCCATTCGTAACCACTTGAAAGACGGACCAGGTAGGGATTCATGCGAGAGGAATTGCAAATTGCCCTCGGTATTAACCCCTTATTAAGTATCATCTATTTATAGGTATCATCATGTGGACATTGATCGAGAAACGGTTGTTCAGGCGAATCGGGGTTGACGTCAGTGGACTCGATATTTTACTCAGCCATACGTTGAGAAATAAGTCGAAGGAAATTCACCACCCTGTGCGATAGTTTAGGGCACGAACGGTTACAACTTCTTATGGATACTTTAGTCGATTATTGACTCGAAACATGAGATCGCCCCGCCCTGAACTCGACCTACTCCGTAGCCTACTTCAACGAGTTTATGGCAGACCACATCCATAAAATCGTTGCTGAATATTACGACTACATGAAAACGAGGACGCATCCCCTGATGCTCACACAACCCATCCACCCATTTTCACCCCTACCATAGGACAGCATTCAGACATCAATAAATCTATAAGCTGCATGTGCGGCAAAACCATCCTTGTACTTCTACTACCTGGATGTGGGGCTTGGTAGATCAGGGGAAGGTGTGGGACTACATGTGACAAAGAAACCTGGCTCTGGGGCTGGGTAGATCAAGGGGAAGGTGTGGGACTACATGGGATATATAGACCTGGGTGTAGGGCTTGGTAGGTCAAGGGGAAGGTAGTGGACTACATGGGACATACAGACTTGGGTATAAGGCTGGGTAGATCAAGGGGAAGGTGTGGGACTACATGGGACATATAGACCTGGGTGTAGGGCTGGGTAGGATAAAGGGGAAGGTGTGGACTACATGGGACATACAGACCTGGGTATAGGGCTGGGTAGAGCTGGGTAGATCAAGGGGAAGGTGTGGGACTACATGGGACATATATACTTGGGTTTAGGGCTGGAGTGATCAATTGGAAGGTATAAGGTGAGTCAGGACTACATGGGAGGTAAGCTTATAGACCTGGGTGTAGTAGGCTGGGTAGATCGAGGGAAGGTGTGGGACTAAATGGGGCATATATACCTGGGTGTAGGACTGGGTAGATAAAACGGAAGGTGTGGGACTACATGGGATATATAGACCTGGGTGTAGGGGGCTGGGTACATCAAGGGGAAGGTGTGGGAATACATGGGACATATAGACTTGGGTGTAGGGCTGGGTCGATCAACTGGAAGGTGAGTGACTACATGGGAGATATAGACCTGGGTGTAGGGCTGGGTAGATCAATGGGAAGGTGTGGACTACATGGGGCATATAGACCCGGGGTGTAGGGCTGGATCGATCAAAGGGAAGGTGTAAGACTACATTGGACATATAGACATGGGTGTGGGACTAGGTAGGTCAAGGGGGAAGGTGTGAGACTACATTGGGACATTATAGACATAGGTGTAGGACTAGGTAGATGAAGGGGAAAGGTGTGGGACTACATAGGACATATAGACCTGGGTGTAGGGCTGGTTCAATCAAGGTGAAGGTGTGGGACTACATGGGACATATAGACCTTGGTGTAGGGCTGGGTAGATCAAGGGGAAAGTGTGTGACTACATGGGACATATATACCCGCTTGTAGGGCTGGATAGATCAAAGGGAAGGTGTGGAACTGCATGGGACATTCCCGCAATATCATGGCGTGGCGACACCTGAAATGGGCTTCACATATTGTACCCATGTGGGGAATCGAACCCTAGTGTTTGGCGTGAAGAGAGATCGCTTTAACCATTGGGCTACCCCCTCCGCCCCGTGTGGGACTACATGGGACACGAAGCCCCAAGTGTTGGAGCTGTGTGGGTCAAGGGTTGCTTGTGCGAATATTGTACCTTGATGTACGGGTTTGGTAGACTAAGGTATATTTGAGATACTACGTGGAAGTTGGAAGCCAGACAAGAATAAACCGTGATCAGTTTTTTTCCGAATTTATTCATCAAAGGAAAAACGGAAAGATATATATATATATATATATATATTATTTTTTCCATTTTTATTTCAATACACCAGGGTTACATGTTCGTACAGTAGCGTACAAGTTCATACAGAGTAGTTACATTGATGGCCAGAGTGTAATGTTTGCTTTAATAAAGAACATGTTCATACAACAGTATATAAAGCAAAATTTTGTGATTGGTTTCATGTTCATACAACAGTATATAAAGCAAAATATTGTAAATGGTTTCATGTTCATACAACAGTATATAAAGCAAAATATTGTGAAAAGTTTCATGTTCATACAACAGTATATAAAGCAAAATATTGTAAATTGTTTCATGTTCATGCAACAGTATATAAAGCAAAATATTTTAAATGGTTTCATGTCCATACAGTACCATACAAGTTCGTACGGTTCATACAGTGTAGTTATATTAATGAACAAAATATAGTGTTTGCTTTAAATAAAGAATGTGTTCATACAGTAGCATATAAGTTCATACAATTCATACAAGGTAGCTATACTGATGGACAAAGTATACTTGTAATGATATTATTAATAATGATATTAGTGAGTAAAATACTTTAAATATGTATCGTAAGTTCAGTGCTGTCCTATATATCCATATTTATCAAAGGTTGCCATTTCTTATTGAAAGTATCGGCTTTCGGATTAATATTTGCAATATGTTTTTCAATATTCATTATGTCCTTCACTGTATTTACAAACGAGTCAAAGCAAAGTTTTTTGAATTAATACTGTTATTGTGAATGATGTTTTTACAATCAGAATCAAGTGATTTTGTAATACAAAACATCTGGGAAGTCCAAAAAAGACAATCTCCTTTGATAGTTCACATCTGCTAGTGCATCTTCTGTTCATAAATTCTGCTACCTGCTTACAGAAACTATTAACATGTGTGTACTTTCATAATAAACATGATGAATATCTTCATTTGCTACTTCACAAAAACAGCAGTTCTTTTCTTGAGTACATTGATCTTTGTAACAATTTATCTTGAAAATCACACAATTTACTGTTTTTGGTACAGCTCCGTGTTTGTGTATTTATAAGTTTGCAATTCATACATTATCAAACTCATTTTAGACGAGAATGAGGTGGATCGACATTTTTGTGCAGGTTGTCGTAATATATTCTACATCTTTTAGATTCAGAGAGCAAGTCCATTAAAGGTTTAGATAAGCTTAGGTTGTAGAATAGTATGTTGCTATTTTTTATTTTCCCTCTCCATTCTGCAGAAATATTATTGATTAAACTTTCAAAGTCAAGAAACCTACCTTTAATGTTGTGCGCTTTTTTAATGATATTAAATGAAAGAAAGCCTTCATTACCACATACATCCCAAAATCTTTTTGGGTTTTGTTCTGATGGTTAAGCCATAGAGGTTCATTCAGGATATTCTGGATATCGTACGGGGTACTATGATTTTGCAAATAATAGTGTTTCCAAGCTGAACAAGTATCTTTCCAGAAAGGATTGTCAGTTAGAAAAACTTTCTCGATATTAGCACCTACTGAGAATAGGTCTATTCTCTGTTTTTATATATCGTCGCAAAAATGATATTGTTAGTGCTGAGATATAGTTAGTAATGTCTACCATCCTTAATCCTCCATCCTCATAGTCTCTTATCAAAGTAGTTCTCTTGATTTTATCCTGCTAACCATCCAAAATAAAATTGAACAGGATCTTATTGATATTGTTTACTCCCCTTTGGTGGATTTGGCAAGGCTGAGAATATATGATCTAATGTAGATAGTATCAATGCTTTTATAACAATAATGTTACCTATTAAGGTCAGCTTTCTTCTCCTCCAGTTTGCCAGTAGTTTATTTATTGTTGCTAGTCTTTTCCTAGTATTTATGACCCAGAGATTGCCCAGCTTTGAATTTAAAGTAATTCCCAATACTTCGAAGTTTATCCAATTTAAATTTCTATCTTCACATAATGTTACCTTCGAGTCTGCTTTGGATCATAGCCATATTGCGTTGGTCTTCTCAATATTCACGTGAAGTCCAGAAATTTTGTGAAAAGTGTCCAGTTTATGTAGAGCACTCTTTAAGCATTTCTAAGTTCCATCGAGAAAAGGTTCTGTGTCGTCAGCATATTGATCTAGTTTATGTTCTTTGTTATTTATTTCTATTCCTTGTATGTGGACACTATTTGTAATCATAATTCCGAGTACCTCTGCAACAAAAAGAAAGAGATATGGGGACACTGGGTCGCCCTGGCGACAAACTCGTCCGTTTTGAATTACACATGAGTTAACGTTGTTGGTGAGGATTCTAATCCATTTTGTCATTTTTGGTCCAAAACCGAATTTCTTTAACACTTTGAGTATGAAATGTTTTGAAACACTATCAAATGTTTTTACACGGAATTAACAAGCCTGGTCTATCCTCATTTACCAGCTCATATATTATGTCATACAGGTTTCTAATCTTATCGGTGATACATCGCTTGGCGATATTAAAGGGTGTTTTAAGTATTGTCTATCTCTATTAGCTTTTGGTAAGCAAGGTGTCCCCTGGTTTCTTCTTCTTTCATATTTTCAAATTCTTTTTTAAGTCTTGAGAGGTCTCAAAGTGTCTTTTCATTTATATTTTGATAATCTTTTCTAATGTCAACTTAAATTTCAGCTGCTTTGTTTTCTAGGTTCTGGAGTTTGTTACATTTATTTTGTTTCATAAATGATGAAACTGATATACAGTAGCCTCATATTTCCATAAGTAATGTCTCTGAGAATAAACCGTTAGAGATTTTTAACTTAAGATCCAAGTCATCAATACCTTCAGCATTGTTGTCGATTTGGTCATTATCTGCGTATTCAATTTTTGTTTCTCGAAAGATCTTCTGAACATTGGACATAAATTCCTTATGGTATAACAGCGAAGTATTAAATTTCCAGTATCCTTTTCCTCTGGCGGAATGGTCAGATTTGTATCCAGGGATGATAATAGACTCCAGACTTATATTAAAGTTATTTTCTGATGCTAAGAAAAAATCGAGACAAGCCTGTTGTCTAAGGTTCTTCCGCTACCATGTACATATTTTTCTTACCATGTATTTGCCGCGAAGCATCACTTAGGTTATATTTTTATATTTTTTCTAAGACATACTTCCGTGCTTTGGGGTTATTGATATTCTTATAGTTTTCCAGGTCCAGGTTAGGATCAAGGTTCCATTCTCCACATAAGATCAAGGAATCATTTTCAAAGTTATCTATATCAGTAAACAAGTTTTCATAAAATTTTATATCATCATGGTTAGGACCATATATATTAGCAATTGTTGTCCTTATGGTGTCAATCGTACAGTCGGTTACGATAAGTTTCCATTTTTGTCAACTTTATCACAATGAATTTCTATTTCTACTTTGTTATTAAAAAGAATAGCTACTGCACGAACATTTGATGTGTAAGGAGCGATAATATTTTTGTTCCCCATTCATTCCCCATAGAATTTACATCATTCTTTTCTGTACTCATGACTTCCTTACTTTTCATTTTGTCAGCTAGACCTCTGCAATTAGCAAATACTATGTCAATTCTGGATCTCATTTTGCAACTTTGAGACTTACTATTATAATTTAACATTTTACGATAAAAATAATTTTCAAGTACCCTTGTGTCTGAGGTTTTTGTATAGCTGTGTAAAGGTGTAACAAAAACATAAACAATACAACTGAAAAAAGGTGGTGGGCGATTTCCTCCATACTGGAGTGTTACTCACGCTCTTGCATTCAACATTTTTCAAAGATAGTTTTACAGCCTCTATTAAACACTTTGTAACAACCTTACATAGAATTAGTACTGTGGTATAGCAATACTGCCTATCCACTGAATTAGGCTTACACAATTTATACAGGATTCTAATTTTTATACGTCAACGGAATATCTGGCTTATTACCATGCAAAAACCTATGGTCTGATTTACACGGCATGAAGCAACTTTATGCACTGTTGGTAGCATGATATAATACAAACTGTGTCATGAAACAAGGGAGATAATACTTCTTAACTACACCATTAGTTTGGTGATGTATATACTACGCATTATGAAGCCGCGCTATATAGCCAAGAGAAAGATGTTTCTTAGCAACAGGGAATTCCTTTACGAAACGACATAGAAGGTTGTATCATGGATCGATGTATCGTCTGGCCTGTGTAAGACAGTGCATCAAGTATTTATTGAGCACTATGAAGCCACTTTATACTCTAATGGTGCGCTGATATAATGCAAGCTAAATAATGAAACAAAAGGTAATATTTCCCAGCGACGAAAGGATTCTTTACGAGGTATGGAAAGTTTTAGTTACCCTGCATCATCTGAACATCAGGCTGGTGTAGCACATTGCCTTTGGTCTGTATTAAACTGACTGAGTTTGGTTTTACGCCGCCTTTAGCAATATTCCAGCAATATCACGGCGGGGACACCAGAAATGGGCTTCACACATTGTGCCCATAATGGGGATTCGAACCCGGGTCTTCGGCGTGACGAGCCAACGCTTTAACCATTAGGCTACCCCACCGCCCCGGTCTGTATTAAACAGCATGAGACTACTTTATACACTATTGATATCATCATATGGTGCTAACTTAATAATAAAATCGAGAGGAATAAAGCTTCTTGTCCACGGAATTAGTTTTAAGACGTACATATAAATTTGTAGGGTTATGAATTGACGAAACATCTGGCTTGTATCATACAATAAACTGATACTGTTTTATCCATAGTATAACAAAGAACCCATTTCTATTAGATAAAATAGTGATGTACATTGCAGCCTAAAAGTCTTAGAGATATACTGACTGGTCTGGGCGTACACAGTTAGGCATTATTTTCATAATTTACAAAGAGAGTAGAAAGTTGGTATATTTACCAACGCTTCCATGAGGTAAATCCGTATTGAGTGTTCACATTTAGGTCCGCAATACAAACACAAGTTCTTCTTTGTGTTTTTGCTATTCGTGTCACACTATTACCAGTGTTATCCTTGTCATGAGTTGGTCACACTTCCTGGTTTCACATCGATCCTGGAAATTTATATTGTTAATTTTAGTTTGTCATGTCTCCAAGAATGCTCTGTAATCACAGGGAAAAAGAGAAAAAAAGCACAGTTTTGAGTGCGCAGGAGATTATTTTCTTTCAGTTGCACACCGAGTCTGACCGGCTGAAGTCTCATATGCCCCGTAAATCTTCCACGGGTAATCCGGTGAGTTTCTAGCCTGTAGTGTTATGTCCGTCTCTTTCTCATATTGTTTCTAAGACAAGAGGCTATCTTGAGACACAAAAATCCAGAAGATAGTATATCTACAGATCTTCTACAGATCTAGCTACAACTGAGCTACGTCTAATGCAAAGCCTTGGCAAAAGGGCTAAAAGGCAGACGACACAGACGAAAAAAGTAAATTTTACCAAGGAACAGTTGCAGAACATGTCAAACGGTTATTGATAACGACACCTGTCTCCTCCTGACGGTTTTGTGTACACCAAGCTACACAAAATTCACATTGGCCAAGTACTAAACAAATGCAAGGTCTTTCAGGACAATGAAACGCCCAGCTATACCCAGATAATTCACAAACACACACGCACAAACACACACACACACACACACACACACACACACACACACACACAGCAACTAACATGCGCAACGATCTACTCAATATGCGTCATCCCAGTCATTGAGCTTGTCAGTTAGTCAGCTCGTGCAGCAAGCATGGGTTGCTAAACCAACTCTAACCCGGATCTTCACTGCTTCATGATGTAGACATAAAATGTCTGGTTTAACACAATTATGTACATCCTATAATCACCTGGTGATATTACCGAGTGCGACAATACACAAACAAACAAAACATACAAATACACAAGAACATGTGTTCACGAAAACCGTGAGCAAAATTCTGTATCACAATGCTCCAGTCCCGCAAACACAAGCAAAGGCTAAAACACTTTAACCTGTAAAGACAGTAATATCTGGTACAAGTTAAAATAGGGGAACTGGAGCAGTCACTTATGTTTCAACTCTGTTTCCTCATTTCTGCGACTAAACATTTCCTGCAGCTTCAGACCCTAAAATGGTAAAATGGAGCGAATGAACCGATATTGTTTTGTTGAACAATAGGAAAGGTTAACTACCGTCAGAGAAAAGACAGCACAGGGGTTCGAGATCACTGTTTGGACGATAATTTCTTTATAATACAAATATATACTTTTCCACTCATATATTGCTTGTATATGTTATGATTAATATACATTCTAGCACGACAATGTGTGATACTCGATTCTGATTGGCTGAGAGCTCATCAAAACCGTACTTAAATGACAGTTTAAGGACCGCTAATTAAAGTGACCGATTCACCGCGTATGAATACAACGAACTCGTTGACCGTATTGTTTGTAAACAAACATGTCGGACATCGGCAATTTCTATCTCGGCAGCATCTTTGGTGTTTTTTGAGTAAAAGCGAATGGTTTGAAGAAGAATTTTTTAAACCCTTATCCCATTGAAGAAACTACGAAGCTGGAAAATCCGTCAGCAGCGCAAAAAACGGCAGTATATTCAAAGCGACTCCAGATCTACGTGTGGTAGACGTCGACACACACGTCGGCTCCACACATCCTAACCTGACCGCTTCCGTCCCGGCCGTAATGCCCAGTCTTCCACTTCCACTGTCCATGTATCCCACATAAAACGTAGCATGTCAGGTCTTTTCCAAATTGGGAATAGTAGGGTGGTTATCAACAATTATTTCCGTGAATAAAGTTAAGGCGACTAAACTTAGCGAGTTCACGGCTTGCATTTGGAAGCGATTCAAAGCGATTTCAGGGAAAAGGCCCCTTCGCGCCTTGTGTTCTTGCGCCAAACAGTTCGGTTTTAAAACGCTTATCAGTCGTGCTAGAATGAAGATAAAGCTACTCTGTTTTCAATTTTGCGGTCCTTTATCGTTGATTTAAGACCGCTAAATGTTTAATTTAAAACCTCACGCTAACGCGTTCGGTTTTAAATTACATTTAGCGGTCTTAAATCAGCACGAATAAAGACTCTCTAAAGGTGAAACAAAATAACTATCTTCTAATTCCAAACTGAACAAAATCAGTGAAGAAAATAAAGATTTTTAGGAAATTCTACCGCTACACTCATTAATTGCATACACAAAGGGGTCGAGCTCTCGATGCTAAAACAATGATCAACAGCCCGACTATCTTAACGTGCGGTTCAATCAAACCTTACGTTTCACAAGAACACGTGTGTTGAGCCTAGAGGTAATTCTTTTGCCTTTCTGCTCATCGTATTCAATTTGTCTGATTGCATTTCATGTTTGACAACTGACCCTCGAATTAGCACTACCCTTTGCTTTGACCAAACGTCTGGTGACTCCTCGGTAAACATCGACAGTTTCCGTAATTCTCTGATTGACTCGGAGACGAAGCTCATGTGGGTCAATTTCCACCAAGGCAGGAAAACTCATTTTTCATATCTCCCGCAATAATCGCACGCACGTGGAAATTGACCAATGAGATACCTGATATATCTTCCTGTTCTTTCAGACATGGCTGTCATTACCAAAGTGAAGACACAACATTCTTTACTGATTGCCAAGTAGTTCGTATTATGAAACCCATCTTGCCTTCTTCACATTCTCTCGCATCTGTTTACGGATCTCTTCATGACGCAGTTCTTCTTTCCCTTCGCTCAAAGTCTTCCATCTGTATTCTCTGGAAATCTTTCATTCTCTCAAGCTCTCTTCTCAGGTTTTCCTGAGCTTCCTTTGTTCTGCCTGTCGTTTCTTTTCTTCTTCCAAACGTTTCTTTTCCTCGTCTTCCTTTTGCCTCAGTTCTACGGCTTTAAGACGTTCTTTCAACTACTCATCATCTTTTTTTCTTCCCTTGATGTTCTTTCTTGACATTTCAATTTTTTTCTCCATTTCTTGCATTTGAAGACGCTGTCTCTGTAACTGCTCTTCCAAGGCAGTGGCTTCTTGTTTAAGTTTATCCTCGAATTCCTTCTGCCTCTTCCCTTCAAGTATTTCCTTTTTCTCAGCTTCTTGGAGATCAGCTTCACATCTCTCGTACATCTCATTTGTGTAGCACTGGCCGCCATTTTCATCAACCATGCGTCTGCCCTTGTCTATTAAATCTTAGGTAAATTTCTCCTTTTCTTCATTCGTCCCTCTGTTGTTGACAGCCATAAAACGAAGACTTGTTTCATATAGAAACTGCTTCAGTTTCACTGGGCAATCCACATAAGTAGTGGTCAATATGGTTTCACCGTCCTCTTCCAAGTCATCTTTTCCAGTAAATACAACAATGACGAATCTTTTTTAGCTTCTTCTCCAAAGCATTGCAGGAACCTTTTCAGTGTATTTCTGTCGTCTTCACCCATCCCTACCAATTCTAACGATGAAAGAATGGCGTGTATTCCAGGAGAAGACATCGCCACACATTTCATGACCTCTTGCCCTGATGTCTTCATGTGATCTGCTTGTGTCACAAAATCCTGGGACGTCAACAAGTTGCAAGTCGTACCCAAAGCGTTTAAAGGAATGCTGTTTGCATGTCTTTGTAACAGACATTGCCCTTGCAGAATGCTTTGAATATCTTTGCCAACTTTCCAGTTCAATTATTGTATTCCCCTGTTTCCGCTTTACCAGCTCCACTCTTTCCAGCAAAGTACCATTCGAATTTCCTTGTCCAGAAAGCTGTAAGGATTTCCTGTGAAGAAGATAATCATGGTCTCACACACCATAAACAATTATCACAGCACATGATACTGACTTAACCTTTAACCAACTGCCATTAGAGATGTGGTAAGGGTCGAATGCTAGATTTGTAAGTGTTGATTTCCAGGCTACTAATTATTGTGCTCATAAATATGATCCACAACCTTAAGATTTAATGGCATGATTTTAATGCTTCTGTTTCACTCAGTTGTAACAACATGCTAAGCTAATGACAATGAATCACCTAACTATCTGGTCAATCAGCTCAGGTTAAACGCCTGTAGGTAACAGTCGTCTCAAATGTGAACCAAATGTGTGCATAGACTCGGTTCAACCTGAAGTCCGATATGTATTACAGTTTGACACACTTCCGCGCAATTTCAACGCAATTTCAATGCAATTTTTTCTCGTGCAACTTGAACTCAGTTTACGATGAAGTAAAAATACCTTTGCCAGCCATTGCGAAGGGTTTTGCACTTTATACAGTCTGAAATGAAAAAACTCGTTTCAACACCACCGTGTACATTCCTGTCAATGTTGAAATAGACAATGTCGGTCTGTTGAAAGCACACATCAAGCGTTTTCTTCTTGTTACATCTTTCTGTTCAATGAGTTTGTGTTTTACAGGACGAGGCATATTGAATTGATTATGAACCCCAACAGTAAATTATACATTTTGTTTTCAATAATAGACGTCAAAACAGAGACATGTTTAGTAAACGAGGTATCATGACACATGAATCAGCATATTTTATAACATTATTTTACAGTTATGTGTCAAAACGTCAATGATCTCTTAGCAGCACACGATTGTTTATCAAGCTGGGCACACATGGTATCTGTTACCTCTACGAAACTCGCAACTTGAAAACATGTAAGAACAGGTCTAATATTGATCTTCAGGAAGCCATGCTTGTCGTTGGAGGCGACTAACAGGATCAGGAACTCAGGTTCGCTGACAAGGAGATGCCTGCCATAGTATCGCAACCGCGTAGATCGATGCGTATCATGCCAATTATGTGACTGTCTGTTCAAGCGTGCTAAAATAAGTTAAATGGGGATAAAGTATGTTGAATAGTATGCCACGATACTATGCATTTGAAAATAGTATCGCCCACGGGCCAAACAGTTTTGATAATGCTAGATATTTGCTAGAAATTCGCTGATTTAAGTCATAATAAGTTGAATTATGTCTCATGATACATGTAGACGTAATGTCAAAGACATGAATGAATACACATGCATCGGTTAACATGTAGCTGACATCTTGCCCAAACATGTATCAGTAAATCAACACTAAAAGTATCAGCAGTACTCACCCGCTGTGTGCTCGCCCTACCAGCTGTGTGCTCACCCTCCACCAGTCAGGTCGTGGCTGTAATGTAAAATATCACGGCTGTCGCTGGTTTTATACTCATGCATCTCAGGTACAGTTAGTCACGTGGCCAGCTCAATAAAACACACCACCTGGGTCAGGTGAGATCGTCGTCGAATGTCTGTGCAGTCAAACAAACACGTGGGAGAACACGTGACGTTTACTGCCGACAGGTGGAGAGAAAATCACAAAGAAAGAAATGGCAGCCGTGTTCATTCATGGTCTCACTTAGCAAAATGAGGTGTCTCGAAAAGCAGATGAAGACGAAGAAGAAGAAGGAGGAGAAGAAGAAGAAGATTATTTTAGTGTTGTGTCACACACAGCAAATATATTCAATCTGCCAAACATAAAATGTGCTGCCAAGCGACCTATAAGAAACTCAAACACCGTATAGTCATATGAATGACAAGTTCAGATAAACACATCAGAGATATTATATCGACAGCATTTATAGACGACATAGCAATATACGGGAATAAAGTGGAAAGAGAACTGAAGAGAAATAACACGTAGAAAATGTATTCACCATTAGTCACCAGACAATCATACCGATGTATGAACTGTTTAAATAGTCAACAACATGAACATTGATCTACGCAGCTGAGATACGATGACATGTGCCAACCAAATCCATGAGCCTGACGACCAGTTGTTCGCCTCTCGCGACAAGCTTGGCAGCTGAAGACCAATTCTAAACCGGATTATCAGGGGTAATATGCCATATAAACAATTGTTGGGAAAGTAATAGCAGCACGTAAAATATGATCGTACTGATACCAGTGAAGTTACTGTTAATAGTGCTCTTTTGCCAAGTGACTTTAACTGTCAACACAGGAACTTAAAAGTCCTTTAACTCATCTATAAGTGTTCATGAATTATTTTATATTTTGAAATTATTCCTGTTTACATATAGCAAACTCAATTCAGTTCGAACGCATACAGTTGCTTGGGTAGAATAAGACCTCGACATAGCGTGACTGATGTAGAACGCTATTAATAGGAAGACGCTGACATGCAGTTATTATCTAACACGCAGTATATACCAATGGTGTCAACACAGATCCTCGCACAATCAACTTTGATGTTAATGATTTATTATTATGATAGCGGCCTCAGAATACCGTTCATGATTCAAACGAAGCGGCTTTAGCGTCTCGTAGAATACCACACTAACTATTATCAGACACGCAATAACACGGTGTATAGCATACATATTCTCAGATTTCAGCTTATCACTTGATCACCGAAGAATGGGTTTTACCCGCATGTGATCGATTGTACACGCTTTATAAACAGGGTGAAAGAAGACACTGATCGTCAATAGAGTAGTTGTTCTTTGCGTGTCAGTTTGAAGGTATATTTAGTTCCAAGGCTCTGCTTGTAGTTGTTTGTCGGGTACATTACTACAGGTGCAGCCTGACACATCACACTGAGATAACTGGCAAATGTAAGAACCTAACGTAACTAAGCTGCAAACATACTACAAAGGCGTTGATACAAACCTTCGCGTCGTTACAAATGCTCCTTGTCGTTGGTTTGTTGTTTAAAGCCGCACTCAGCTATATTCAGCTGTATGGCGGCTTCCTGTAAATAATCGAGTCTGGACCAGACAATCCAGTAATCAACAACACGAATATTGGTCTACGCAATTTGGATACGGTGATATGTATCAACCAAATCGGCGAGTGACCACGCGATCCTTGTCACTCATGCATAGGTACAATGTGTGAAACAAATTTGTGGTGTCCCCGCCGTGATATTGCTGGTTAGTGAGCTTTACACCCAGGGCCAGATGACCTGGTTCAACAAGAAAGTTAGCTTAAATATCAGAATTGTGTAGCTTATGACTCGCATAGGTAGCAGTACCATGATCACTTTGCTTACGAGATCACGGGTACAGATATACTCTAACCAAAAAGAAACGCAAATACAATATTGATAATTGAAATGTCAATTATTTTTCAAAATTGGTGTTTGATTGTTCGCCATTACAATGCTGGTTTGTGTACATGAACCAACGCACACAGAGCAAAACGGATCTTCGGTAATTTTAATGCACGCTTACGTTTGAAAGTATCAACATGCATGAAAATGTCATGGAAAAAGTGGTTCGCAATATGCACGCGCAGTTCTGAGGAACCGTGAGCGAGGACATTGCCTATTTAAGGCCGGATTACCACTGCAGTCATCTCAATCCGTTCGTGATCGATTACGAGGAGACCCTGTTTCGGCCTTGTACTGCGACGACACAATCGACGTCGACGGGTCCAGTGGTGCAATAACGTTCGATTCTGGAATGTACAAAACTGGCAACGTGTATGCTTTATGACGAATCATGCACAAATCTAACTTTGTACGCCCTCAGGACAATTTAACTGCTATTCGGTACGGAGACGAAATCTTAAGGATTCCCATGATCCCTATCATTGAGGGAGTTGATCCAGCAAGATAATGCCACACACACAGCAGATGATACTACCTCCCCTTATCATGTGATATTACATTTAGAGAGGTACTAAATGCAGTGAAAGGGTTAAAAAACAACAAAGCCCCGGGCCCAGATTGTCTGAGCAATGAACATATAAAATACGCAGGGAGATCATTAATCACTCATATTGTCGCCTTGTTTAATGCCATCATCAGATATGAGTACGTGCCACTTATGTATAATCTTGGTGAAATTCTCCCAATACACAAAGGTAAAGGCAAAAGCAAAATTGATCCATCTAATTATCGTGGCATAACGTTAACATCTACCCTGAGTAAGCTCTTGGAACGTCTGCTCCTAGATAGAATTGAAATGGACAGATAATAACACTTCCTTCCCCACCATTTCCAGTTTGGCTTCAGAAACACGCAGCTGAGATGGCAGCGCTTACACTTTACTGAAACCATTGCATATTACAATGAAAAGAACTCACCAGTATACTGTGCTTTCTCGACAATGAGAAAGCATTTGATCGTGTGTAGCTTGATGGTCTATTTTATAAATTAGACAAACTTGGCATATCTGGTAAAATGTGGAGACTCCTTCGTTTATCTGATATGTCTATGCACTCGTATGTTGGTTTGCAGGGTTCAAATCAGACCAATTTCATGTTAAACAAGGTGTCGGGCAAGGCCGTGTTATATCAGCGTGACTTTTTCACTGTACATAAATGATTTATTATATGATCTTAATAGAACAAGTTGTGGATTATGCCTCCCATTGGGAAAATGTCCCGGCTTATTGTTAGCTGATGACACAACCCTTACCAGCTCCAACCCCAAGGGATTACAATGTTTGTTAGGCGTAACTGAATGTTATGCAAACAAATGGAAGCTGAAATATAATGTAAGTAAGAGTGCTGTATTGATGTTTGGTAACAACAAAATGTATCGCTTAATGACCTTTTTTTTGTAATATCCATGTACCTCTAAAACAATTCATTATTTATGCTGAAGTGTAATTTACTACCTCCAAATCATCTGTTAATAGAACAGGTAATGTTTGTGAGAAACTGAGAAAAATGATTAATATTAACCATGACTCAGGGTTGCATTATGGAGGATTAAAATCCTATTGCTGCAATTCGTATATGGGACAGAGTTATATTGCCATGCTGCCTATATGGATGCAGTGTATGGGGAAAGCTATCTAATAAAGAATATGATATGTTGGAAACCACACAGCGTTATTTCACTAAAAGAATACAAGGTTTTGATAGGTATATGCCTAATGAAGTTGTTGTGGATAACCTTGGTATTTTATCATTACAAGCTTTATATAGATCAACGCTCTCTGTTGCTACTTGGCAGATTATGCAACAGCACTATTAAGTTTTCTTTTAAACAGTTGTGTTTACATAGAATCTCGCAATATGACAATGAAATTATGAATGGCAGAAAGCATAAACGAGATATGAAATCTCCTATATTTCATATGTTGGAATTATTAGCTAAATATGGTATCCAGGAAGAAATGAAACAATATGTAGTGTGTTCTAAATTTTTATGTAAAAGGAAATGATCAAGAATGGGTACGGAAAAGGTCTTACAATGTGATAGAAAAGCAGCAGAGTATGCCATGCAGTCAAGGCTATCATTGATACGGTATCAGTCAATAAGATCGGACGGTGTAAATCGACTATGGCAACTGGCGCTTGACAGACCAAGGTACTATAAACGTATTGGTTTTCTTATAAAACTGGGTTCTGTTCCCACCCATTCAGTCAAAGGAATGTGAGGTGTGGTACTGTGGCGCACGATATTTTAAAAGCACGTTTTAATGTCTTGTAAGATTAATATTGCTGAAAGAAATGACTTATTTGAACAAATTTGTGACTTACTTGATGTTAATATCTTTGTAAAATTATGGACCTACGATGATGATGATGAATTCCTGAAATTTCTACTTGGCGGAAAACCGGAAGATGTAAAGGACCAGCTAAACTATGATGTGTGGGCAAATGTTATAATATGTGTCTCAAATTCTGTATGTAAATGGAAAAATATTTATAACTGTTGTATTTCACCTTACCACCCTGTATAAATTATTTCATGAGCATTTCTGTTGTATCATGTGCCAGTAATATGACTGTATAATATACATATACATTTGTAACCTTCAAACTATGGAGGAAATAAAGAATATCTATCTATCTATCTATCTATCTAGCATGATCCCTATGATTGAGGGAGTTGATCCAGCAAGATAATGCCACACACACAGCACATGCCACTCTTCAGCATCTTCAGAATAACAGTACAGTGTTTCCTTGACCTTCGAAATCGCCCAATCTCAACTCCATCAAGCAATCTCTACTCCATCAACTGTCCCAGGCATTGCAACAGGAATGGACCAGAATTCCATAAGTTCGAAATCAAAGACTTATTCAGTCCATTCCAAGACGGTGCAGAGCAGTTTTTGGGGCACATGGTGGCCACAACAGACATTGAAGAAAACGCAAATCTGGAAACGGGCGCGTTCACATATTGGATATTTTATAAGCTATATGTATTAACACTCATCTGACCTATTATACATAGACATTTGGCTGCAACAGATACAGAATTACATGTGTTATGTCGCTTTAAAGATACCAGATTAGATTAGTGAAAATCGCTTTTCCTAACACATTCTGTCATTGTGCTGTGTAGATCTGTTACAGCTGATGCTGACATTAAGATGATAAAATGTCGAGTCTTTTAGTTCTTCATGTGCTAATTCTGTTGTATATAAATCAGGGAAAGCTGATCCATCCATTAATAATGCAGTGCTCCGATCAAAGTAAATTTCTGCACTTTAAAGCTGATTACTACTTACACCTGCTACTGTGCTATGGAGCTCTGTTCCCCTTGACCTCAGGTGTGCCCTTGCCTTGACTACTTATAAATCTGGCCTAGTAATAATCATTGATAATGACTGCCATTTGTTCATTAGTTCCTCGTCATATCAGTGTCCTTATCATTCTTCCTATTATTATAGCATTCATGTGTCATTGGGAAAGCCAATGTTACCCAACACAGGTACAACGTGAGAAGATCTTATTGTGCTCTGACGATGTGGAGTTAAACCCGGGACTCTTTACACTTGAAGAAGTTTAATAATATTCCATTATGGCCAAATTAGAAGACAAGTCCGAGCCGAGTGAACAAATCACATCTTTGAAAGAAGACGTGAAGTCGATTCCTTCTAGGTGTGATAAACTTGATAAAACTGTTAACCTTATCAAATTGGATAGAGAGAACCGGAAAAAACACCGAGAGTATGTATACGGATTTTGATGCCATTTCGGAAAAAGGTTGATAACATTTACGAACTTATGACCAAAATTGACGACGATTTAGATAAACTTAGAGGTATTTAGGGTATACGTTACGATAAATTTACACTATACCATGGATGCCTCTATGGCATGGCCCGATAATTTTATTACATCCCTTTGCCGTCCCCGCATTCTCACAGTAACCGATCAGATAAGCCGCCGTTGCAACCGAACTTGCCAGTGTCAACAAAGAAAGCAGTCGCAGTCGCGAAGGTTTGTTCGCAGTGCGTCTCAGATTTGGGGAAAATCGTACAGACAAACTTACAGGTGTGAAACCTAATAAAATATATGCAAGAACTCCTTGTACCTCTTTCAGAGTACCTAAACAACAATCGTGTTGCCAAGTTTAATCGATTAGGTAAAAGAAGCGAAAGTGTGTTGTGATTGGTACGCTCAGCTTCCCCATTGTAGACACCTGATTGGGTAAAACTCCAGCCACGGGAGGTAATATAATCATCGGGCCGAGCCGAAGATGCATCCATGGTTTAGTGGAGATTTATCGTAACGTATACCCTGGAGATTAACGAGGATGTTGGTCGACGTGACAACATCCCCTACATGTTATTCCGGAAGCTGACGGTGAGAAGTCAATGTCATGTAAAGAGATTCTGTTGTCTACATTTGATAAATACTTGAGCCTTTATGACATGGCAATCGTCTGACGTGATTCGCGCACACCGCATTGGCCCTAAACGTCAACATACAACTAAACCACGTCCCATTATTGTGAAACTCGCACTGTCAGATGATAAGATTCGAGCACTGAAATTGAGACCAGTTCTCAGGAGAACTTGGACTTGGGAGTTTGACGACACGACTGAGAAACAGATACAAGCCCAGGTTATTCTAATACGCCACACATAGTCAGATTCAAACACGTCAACGTAAGCGGCAACCGGCGACCGACTCTTCACGTAACAGGCGCAAGACGCCTTCTCGTTCAGCACGCCCATAGGGTAGCGTCCGAGGCCTGGTTATTATGTCACAAGAATCTATTGTCAATGACATCGCAAGTACTGACTCTGAGAGTGATCTCGTGACTGACAACACCACTCTATCCCTTTTCTGCTGGAACGTTAACGGGTTGAGGGACAAAATAAACGACTGTGAATTTTATTATATCTTCGGAAATTCAAAATAGTATGTCTTGTTGAGACATTTGTCAAATATGAATTGGCTGGACGGTTATGACGTTTTCTACAGCCCTGCAGTAAATCTATCTGGTTTTGTTAGACTTTCTGGTGGTGTAATTGTCTGTATCCACAATTCTATAAGCAATATGTGCATTTTACTGTCACCATCAGTTGACAGTTTGATTTTCTTGAAACTGCCAATAAAACTATTTTCATTTGCAAAAGATATCAACTTAATATGTACTTATATCCCACCCACTATTCTAACAGAGATCATGAATGTAACACTGAACAAATCGAACAGTTTCTTATAGAAACCCTTCCAGAAATCAGTGATTCATTTACTATTTTCTGTGGAGATATGAATGCTCGCACAGGTGAGCAAAATAACCATTACGTTAGTTATGATGGTGATATCGGAAGTAAACATCTAAAATATAGTGAAGAAGGGGATACCCCACTCGATGACCTCAAATCTCATGACAAAGTTGTAAATAGTATTGGTCGTACTTTACTAGATATGTACTATGCACTTCAAATATCTATTTTCAACGACAGAGCTTTTGGAGACAGGCTAAGAGAATATACTTTTGTAGTAATCAGGTCTCGAGCGTGAACGACAATATAATTTGTTCACAGGGTTTTGTTCATTCTATTGAGATTTTTAGCATTGGAGAATGCATTGACTCAGACCATTTCCCATTGGAGTTGACTTGTAAATTTCTATATGCAGACAATCAAAATGAACTAGCCGATGGGTGTTATGATAAAGAAAACTTGTTTGGAATGATTCTCTGTGTAAATACTTTGCCGATAATTTATCTGATAAAATGTTGTCTTGTAGTCAAGGTTTACTTACAATGCTTGATTTTGACTTAGATGGTGCTATCGATGAATTTGTACATACGCTTTTGTCCGACTGTATGAAGAAAAAGGTTAATACTAAACATGTTAACAGTATAGGGGCGAGGGCGGGTCGTTATCCATAAATTAAAAGTGGGTACCCAAAAAACTACATCTTAAGATTAATAGTCACTATAAATATCTTGGTCTTTTGTTTACCCATGCAATAAACTTGTCTAAAAGTATAAATTATTTAGTATCAAGAACAAGGAAGCCATATTCAACGTTTTGTCTGTTTCATATAGAATTGGAATTACCTCACCGAAAATATTTTACTTTTGGCAAATATGAAGTTTAACATTTTCAGATAGCAGTATATCAAAGAATAATCACGTGCTAGCTGTGTCCTGCACGTGCGCTTCCCGCTCTTCCAGTCTTGTGAGGAAAACACACGGTTCATACCGACAAACAATCTATCATTCTTCACTGTGCGATCCTTCTTGTAGCCTAGTGGAGTAGTAAGCGAAGGGTTGCGGGTTCGAAACCAGGTATCGGCACTATATGTTGCAAGTTTTTTAATAATGTGATATTTTAAGATCGCATTCAGTGATAGTAAGACAAAGTTATATCTATCTTCAAAACAAGTAATACATACTTGAGAAATCCATTATATTCCGTTCTATGTTTTCAATAATAGACACCGATACACAGACATAATGTACCATTCCATTGTTATGCAAATCAACGAGTAAAACTATGGCTTCTGACATCATGAGCTCATCACGTTTTACACAAAAAGCGTGGTATTTTTAGAAGATACAATGTGGTTCTGAAATGAACAAAATGTTTCATCAACGGCGATTGATCGTCGGTCAGTGCACACAATAAGTAAAACGAATCACGTTATTAAAACTTTCCTTACTTGTTGTTGATTTAATTTCCATAAGGCTAGAAAAGGCATGTTCTCGTTTTCCAATTTGGGTAAATCAGTACTCAAGACGTCAATAACTTTATTGCCCGTGCAATACTCGGGTATCTGCAGATCTCAGATCATCCCGAGTGCAGCTTTAGTAAACAACAAGAAGAAAAAGCAAGAAAGATTCTATAAAACCAAAACATATGGAAAAACAAAGAAAACCAAACCAAACTTAATTACCTGCATATATGAAGTTCAACATAAACAACCTCCATGTCCACACTAATTTATCAAATTAAACAAAGTGTAAGTTTTGAGGGAAAAGCCATGCAGCTTGCTAGTTATCTTCCTGTACTAGGAATTTGCATGCTTCGCCTGGATCATTGTGGTGTATAGCACAGTAAGAAAGAAGTATATAACCATCCGTATGAAAGCAGTATGATGACTTTACATGTTGGTGCAGATGGTTGTGAGCCAGCAATTAACTGGTTAATTTGTGTTTTAATTTGGTATGCCTGACATAACTATATTAACTAAAACAAAGTGATCACTCTAATCAGTAAATAATGATACCAGTGACGTTGTTCTTTAAGACTCTAAAAAGTTAATAAAACTCGTAAATAAGTGTTCATATCATGCCAACTATCATTATGAATTCACAGTTTACATTCTAAAGTGACGCAAACCCCAGTGGACTATTGGGGTAGGAGAAGCTTCGGGAAAATAGTAGAAGGTATAAGGTACCCACCAGTAAGCATTGACACTTTTATAATTATATTCAACAAAATTAGAAACTTGACACCGACATTGTTGGTGACAATTGAAAAGGTTAATTCTCTTTAGCTTTTAGTATCTTGATACCATACACAATGCGCACAGCAGTGGCATGTAGGATATTTGAACATAGTCTTGGCGTCTGGCGTGAAAAGTGTGCCCACAATATCGTGCATATAGTGTAGGCAGCACACAATCTATGGACCGGTTAGCTTCTGACATCGTTGGAGATCACCCAAGACGTGGAGTGCCGCTTGTGAGTCACACCAAACAAACGAATAGATTCGTGACTGCATCCTTCACAAGCAGACAGTTGTTGTTCAGAGGTAGACTGTCAGACCACATTATGGTAACTACAGGTATCTGAGCTTGAAGACCCAATATAGTAGTTATCTTGACTAAGTTTAGTGCGCTCAACGTTGATGTTGGATCAGGAGATACGCCAGGATCTGTCGCAGGATGGCTGCACTCGTGAGGTTGACTGATTTGGAGGGCATTTGTTTAGCCAGAATTTTCCAGCATTTCAAATGATTGTCGTTCACGAAAACTAACTGCCATGTTGGTTCATGTTTTGACCCCAGTCCTTCTGTCTTTCAGCAGTTACATATTATAGTGCAGTGGCCAAAGGTGAAAATAGATACTTTGGCGGACTAAAGCATGAAACTTTACAAAGTGCTAGGGAATATCATGATAAAACATATATTTGGGTGCGCCCGATTTTTTGGGCCCATTTTCCGAAAAAATCCAAGATGGCCTCCCAAAATGTAAGATTTCCAATTCCAACACCATGTGACTTTCACCGCTGGATTAAAGCAGAAAACCTTGCATAGTGCTAAGGAACATCATGATAAAACATATTTTGGGGTGTTGTCGTTCAAAGGGCTATTTCTAATACTTTCATCAAAAAATATAACAAGTAGTAGTAAAAGATAAAATTCATCATCCAATTAATGAAACAAATACTGTTTTGATCAGTCACGTGATATCATTTTGTCAAACATCCATCTCTGTGACTCTGAAGTCTCCTTTAACAGTTCCAATTGATGTTACAGAGCGATGTGCATAGAAGTTGAGATGATTTGCAAATGAAAGTCCGTGTGACTCTGCTGACAATATTTTAGCTTGCACTTGCTTCAGAAATGCGTGCACATGAGGCATCTCCCGATTTAAACTAAAACTACAATTGTATAATCAAACAGTAATATCTCGAGGTAATCTAATGAGATGTTGATGGTTTCTTTTTCTGATATCTGGAATTTGCTGGACTCCAGATGTCAGTATCAGTCAAGATGTCATTGTGGTTACCTGGTGATACTGTTGAGAAAGAGTGAGGGAGTGAGTAAATGTTGCGTTTAGCTGCATCAGCAAATTTGCAGCTTTTCGCGGCTAGAAAACAACTATTTTAATAAAGAAACGATTACAGAATAAAAGTGATGAAGAAGATCACTAAAACGTCAGTCAACTATCATAGTTAAAGGCAAGGGACGGTGGGGTAGCCTAATGGTTAAAGCGTTCGCTATTCACGCTGAAGAACCGGGTTTGATTCCCACATGGGTAAAATCAGTGTCTGGTGTCCCCCGCCGTGATATTGCTAAAATGTTGCTAAAATTGGCGTAGAACCGTACTCACTCATTCTGTTAAAGGTAAAAACCGACATTCAGAATTTAAAATCTACATCTTATCATATAGTTTAATTTCCTTCTAAAATTACATTATTAGAAACGGTATTGAAAAGTTCCGATAGTTTGAAGGGTATAACACGGTAGCCGGATGAGAGGTAATTCAACACATTCCAACAAAGGTGCTTGACAGTCAAAGGACTGTGACATATTGAGGAGGATCCTCTCCCTTGAATAAGAATGAATGGCCATAAATTAGAGTGTCCCATATAACACTTCCGAATCACCACTTAATCTTGGCGATTTAGATCAGTGTGTTGAAAGAGATGTGACTGACGTACATAAGGGCGTCCGTCTTTAATTCTGTGTTTCTCATCTCCCGCCGCCCGTAAAATTCCCAACCGCCCATACAATAAAAAAATATTTTTATTTCTAAACTTTGCGCCGACGAGTCTCAATTTGAACACCGCCCATTGAAAACAAATGTTTCGCCACAAGAAAAAAAAACAGTTTAAAATGTATTAAATTTCATCGAAAAACGAAAACGAAAAACGAATCTTCAGCAGGTATTAAAATGGAAGCAAATCTTTCATCTTTACTCCCATGTCACGATTTTGATTGGCATCCACTAATATTTACGATCCGGCAATGTTAGGAGTTCACAATATCGTGTATCACTGGTAGGATACTTGGTTACAGTGAGAGTGGAGTCTTTATGATTTCTGACAGAGTCTTTGTGATTATAGCATCTGCAAGGCGAGGGTAAGGTACAATAAATGTCCTGTAGGCGTCCAAAACAACTTTATAAGGGAATTAATTCCACGTTTACCTCAATGCTATGTTCCTTCAGGAACGAATGTAACTATATTACTCTGAAAACGCTTGATAATCATGTAAAGTCATAAATTGTTAGGATTTTCATATTTTTTTTATAATGAATTGATATATTTGAAAAAAAATGATTAAATAAATTATTGTAGCATTCAAAGTCACCATTCTGATTGGGTTTATCTGATTGGCCCACTGAAGCATGTGCTGTTTAATCAGCGAAAAGAAGACACATAGAATACTCGTAGCTCTATAGTGACAGAAATTTGTGATTATGAAATTGATGTAACATAAAAATTCATTCTTGGTCACAGATAATTCACAATCCCAAAATGGAATAGACGGGACACAATTTCTAAAATCTTGTTAATGAATAGGAATTTGACGTTTCTATTAATGTATCTGTGGTGTCTAAAGATCATCTGAATGTTTGAAGCTATAATTCGAGGTGATTTAAACTGAATATAAAATTTTCATATTTCGTCGCTCAACTGTACCATGTCAGGACAATGTTGACTAGAACATCATAAGTGGTCAAGTATAATGTGGTGGTATTTGTCCCATGCTTGTAATTCCACAATGAAGCGTATGAATATTGCGTGAAGTACTTATAACAAAATTGTGCAGAATCTGTTCACTTTGGTTGAAAATCTCCTGGCATAATATTGCTGTAATACGGACCTGTCATTCCTTCCTTTTTGGCATAGTTTTCTGCATGCTTAGATTTACTTCAATATTCCGGAAATATATAGTTCAGTAAAAACCAATGTAATGAATCCACTGATGGGATTAAAATAGCCATGAATCGCCACTTGCTTGAACAGGGATGTAACACTACAATCTGTAGTGTTTATTCACATATTGTGTTACTTGAGACAACACTTTACATTTTGAAGCCTATTTAGAATTGTCAATTATCTACAACAATGTGTAGATCACAATCATCATCGAGATCATCATGAACATTGACTAAATAGTATTCTTCTGAAAATAACTGTTTTGTACCGATTATGTGAGTTAAGCATTGTGAATGTGACTTTGTACTCATGATGTTTTGCTCATACTCTTGATGTTTTACTCATATTTATCATCAAAATGACTTTCATTGAACATTATGATAAAAGGATATCTATGCTTTTGCTATATGTATTTAAGTAAATTATAAAGTTGCAAGATGATAGTATGTGTTGATAAGGAAAATTATAGCCTTTAATACCACAAACTAAAGCTATAATTACCATTTAGTCTTATTATAACACATATCAATGGCCGCCCCATTCTTGGAACAGTCAGGCGATGAGAAACACAGAATTAAATACGGACGCCCTAAGATGCCTTGCCGCAAGATGTTATTAGTTTGGAATTTGATTTAACACTGACCTTATATATTTCTCAGATTCATTTACATAAATTCAGGTTCTATAGCTGTAGCTGAAAAAGTTCTTTTCCAAAAAAGAATCTATTCAAAACAATCTTGTACTTTTTAGTCCTCTGTAGATATATGATTCAATGGAACCTTGGAACAGTGCCAGAACACGTAAAAAGTTCATTTAGATTTTTAGCTGTTTATTTTATACATACCAAGCTACAATGCATGATGTTTAGTTTCAGAACAAATATTTCATGATCCAAGTACATGACGGATGGTAGTCTATAGGAGTAGCCACGAAAGATATTGGTTGGTATGATTCGAATAGTTTTCTGAAACATAGCCTTTTACATCAAAGAAAGAAAGAAAGTGAGAAAGAGAGAGAAACCAGTGATGTCAATGTCAACCCATTATTGTTATAGGGATGACTAAGTGGATCGGGTGGCCGCTGACATGGTTCATGTATGTTTATGTATATTGGTACTTTGGTGTCAGTCTCCGAATTGTATGGTCCACACTCGATTATTCACAGGCTACAATATCATCTGGCAATATTGCCGAGTTAAACAAACAAACAAGTAAAAAGGTGTTCATTATAGCGATGAGCAAATCATGTCCCAGCGCTGACACTTGTCACAAACCCAAGCCAGTGCAAGACAATATTTCACCCGTTAAGTCAGGAATTTCAGGTCCAAATCAAAACAAGGAATGGCAGCACACACCGGTTTTATCACAGATCCTTCAAAGGTCTTCCTTATTTCTACTGGGGCGAAGTCCGTTTCTGGTGTCCCCGAGGTGATATTTCTGGCTAAGGCTAAACGTGGTGTAAAACTGAAACTTACTCACTATTCATTTCTACCATTTAACAATTTGTGAGGCTTTGAAAGTCAGATTCTTCATTGAACAACTTTTGTTGGGCCCAGTTTGAAACCTACCAAAGAATCACTCGTACCCAGAATAATATGAAACGGAAGACTAAAGAAGGATGGAGCGGAATATAAATAAGTCATACAAACAAATGTTCCGTTGAAATTGAAAAGGTAAAAGGTAGAGCATAGTCAGTCAGGAGTATCTGTACAAATACATTCCATTGGGCTAAAAAATATGGCCATTCATAGGTGGATAAGTCACTGAAAATGAGTGATACTAAATTCTACATTCTATCTAATACAGCTTTTAGGTTGCTGCTGCGATTCCCAACGTGAAGTTACGTAATTCTTTGGCTAGTGCCAAGCAATAACCTGTTCTGCCTGTCATTTCTTTTCTTCTCTCTGACGTTTTCTTTCTATCTTCTTCCTTTAGTATCGGGGTGGTGGGGTAGCCTAGTGGTTCCCAAAGCGTTGGCTCGTCACGCCGAAAGACCCAGGTTCGAATCCCCACATGGGCACAATGTGTTAAGCCCATTTCTGGTGTCCCCGCCGTGATATTGCTGATTTTTTTTCTAAAAGCGGCGTAAAACTAAACTCAGTCAGTAAGTCAGTCCTTTAGTATCAGTTGTAAGGCTTTCAGATGTTCATTCAGCCGATCTTCTTCTTCATCTCTCCCCTTTCAAGTTGTTTCTCCATTTCTTGCATTTTTAGAAGATGACTCTGTAGCTGTTTTTCAAAGGCAGCGACTTCTTCTTTAAGTTTGTCCTCGAATTCCTTCTGCCTCCCTTTCGTCGATTTTTTTCCTTCTCAGCTTCCTGAAGATCAGCTTCACAACTCTCATACATCTCATTTGGGTAGCACTCGCCCCCGTTTTCAACAACCATATTCTATAACATGTCTATCAGATCTTTGGTAGAATTTTTCCTTTTCTTCATCCGTCCCTCTGTTGTTGACAGCAGTAAAACGAAGACTTGTATCAAACAGAAACTGCTTCAGTCTCGTTGGAATATCTCCAAGATAGTTGTCAATGGTGTCATCTGCCTTTTCCAAATCGTCTTATCCAGTAAATACAACAATCACAAATCTTTTAGCTTCTTCTCCAATGCATTTGCAGGAACTTTTCCAGTGTATTTTTGTCTTCTTCAGTGAACCTGCCAATTCTTATGATGAAAAGAAAGGCGTGTACTCCAGGAGATGACATACCGACACATTTCATGACCTTTTTCTTGATGTCTTCGGGTGATCTGCTTGTGTCACAATAGTCGGGGAATTCAACAAGTTGCAAGTCGTACTCAAAGCGTTTAATGCTATGCTCTTTACTTTCCTTTGTAACAGACATTGCCCTTGCGCTTGCTCGAATATGTTTTCCTGCTTTCCTGCTCCACATATTGTATTCCCTGTTTCACATTTAACTACTCCAGTCTTTCCAACAAGTACCATTCGAATTTCCCTCACCATAGAACGTGTAGGATTTCCTGCGAAGGAGAATAATCATGGTCTCACACACTCTTCTAAACAATTATATCACATTATATTGACAATTGACTTTTAACCATCTACCATTAGAAAGCGATAAGATCAAATACTAGTTTATAAATGTTGATTTTCGTTACTAATTATTGTGCTCATAAATATGACCACAACCTAAAGATTTTAATGACATGATTGTAATGCTCTCGTTTTACTCAGCTCTGACTACATGCCAAGCTAATGACAATGGAACCATCCGAGTCCTAACTATCTGATCAATCATCTCAATTGAAAATATCAATGAATACAATTCAACATGTCCCCAGGTGTTTGCGAAGAAGGTAGCCATGGTTCGCTCTATGGGCAGCACCCATCACTATTTTCATAAATTCTTTGTGTGTTGTACAGAAACCAAAAGTGTTGGGCATATAATGTATATTTTACGTGGTTCCTGACATTTGGCTTACAGTTTCTTACTTCTTTTTTATCACTTTATTTGTTTATAATGGGTACATAATTTATGCATTTGTGGTACATGTAAATATACAAAGAATGGACATGGGTGGTAAATAATCCGTAGGCTATAGGAATACATTGTTGTTTCAATTTATGTGTAACCGGCTCACTGTTCAATGCTGCTTTCTTTGTACAACCAATGTTTGGATAGGAAAATACCTTTGTCAGCCATGGCAATAGGGTAGGCCGTTTGAACAGTCTGAAATGAAGAAAATGTAGTATCAAGACAAGTGTGCGTATTCTCATCGAATGGTCAATGTATAAATAGCTGTTATGGTATGCACAGTTACTTTTCCCCGTTAGTATACTACTTTCTGCAGGTATTTTCTATCTGTATTTACGAAACGCATATCCGTGATCTGTATCCTTTGCTTGTTGTTTGATGTGACAATCAGCATTTTTCAGGGTATATGTAAATAATCGAGTTTTGAACCAAACAACCCAGATGGAAACGATGATATCAACCAAATACGTCCGATCATGTTAGTCGCCCTAATGACTGAGAGACGGTTTGTCAAAGACCAATTATAACCCGGATGTTTACGAGTGACATGTTTAAGAATTGTTTTGAAAAAAAATACTTAGGAATCCTTATCATTAATTTCCATTATATGTTCTCACTATAGTTTGTTTGACTTCATTTGAGACCGATGATTTGCTCACGAACACAAAATCTAATAAATGCAACAAAATCAAACTGTGCACAGTCACATGACAGACCAACACTGATAATTTGTCTCCTTATTTTGGACACCTGAATAAAAAGTTGTTTAATAAACGATCATTATTTTGTTGTCACTTTTCGCTATTTCTTACGAGGGAGGCCCACTTGCTGGTAGAACAGCCAGGTGTGCGAGGTGTACGTGTGAAATTGAAATTTCACTGCACACGCTTGTTGATTACCTGGGTGCTCACCTCATCTCACCTCTTGTACGTGTGAAATTGGTACAGCTATGATAAGTACCGGTTCTGCCCCACCAAACCACCGCAACTATATTAACTACAATACAGATTAAAGTGGTACCATGAAGTTGCTCTGTACAGTCTATGAAAAGTACAGGTAACTGTGCGCAGAATATTTTAACTGTCATTCATCTCAGTTTTAAGTCTTTATATCAGTCCACCTACGATTATATACAATGACAATTGACATTCTAAAGTGACGAAATTCTTCTTAATCCCAGGAGATTCCTGTGGGATTCCTGTGGTAGGATAAGCAGCGGGATAACCTGCTTGCAGTAGAAGGTATAAGGATTGTACCACTCAGTAAACACTGACACTTTTAAAACTCAACATAAATATGGCACCCACATTGTTGGTAATAATTGTAAGGGTTGATTCTTTTGAGTTTCTTGTGCCATACGCGCGACAATGACATGCAGGAAGTTTGAGCATGGTCTTGGCGACTGACGTGAAAAATTGTAGTCACAAATCGTGCAAAGAGCGTGAAAGACAACAATCGCGTGCAGCAAGCTCTTAGATCACCTTTGTGATTGCACGTGTATTATGTGATGGGTAGTCTTAAGGCTGGGAAATACAGCAGCCCTGGATTGTAGTCGTTAGACAGATTACAATCTGTGGACCTGTGAGCTTCAGCTGCAGATCGCCCTAGGTCCGAGGCGCTGCGTGTGTCGTCACATCAAAATGACGTACAAATCGGGTTACAACTGATTTGTGGCTGCAAATTCTACTAGTAGTTGATGCTCATACGTTGAGCGTCCACTCAGACCAAGGGGCATCAACTGCGAACTGCAGGTATCCGTGCTTTGTGACGAAATATAGGACCTATCTTGACTCGTCTTAGTGTGCTCAGCGTTACGATGGATCGGAGACGCGCCAGTGTATCGCAAGAGTGTTGTGTTCATGAGGCCGATTGATTTGGAGGGCATTTGTTCACCAGCATTTTGAGACAATCTCAAATGATCATCGTCCAGGAAAATCTAACTTAACCTGTCCAGTTAAATAGGGGGTCATAGAATGTCATGCATTAATTTACTATTAAGTGATGCACATACACGCGACAATGCTGTTCATCCTATTGTTTGCTGATGATATTGCGCTTTTGACTTTACAGTTATAGGTCTGTAAAGAGGCTAGACAAGCTAGTTTCGTATCGTTACAAGTGGACATTGAAAATAAATCTTGATAAAAGTAAAAGTTATTGTATTCAGGAAGGCTGGTCGACTAAGACATTACGAAAAGTTCCATTTGAATGGACAGTTGCTTTGAAATTGTTGCATCATATAAATACTTGGGTGTTCACTTCTCTTCCTCTGGATGATGGTATGTTACACAGAAAACTTTTGCTGACCAAGCATGGAAGGTGTTGAATATTTTCAAATCATTGGTTAAGAATTTTGTATAATCTACCAATTAATGTTCTGCTCCATATATTTGATGTCAAGGTTTGGCCGTTGTTACTTATACGGAAGTGAAGTCTGGGGTTTCCACCCGTCGCCATCTGTATTGAATGTACATGATAGGTTCTGTAAACAGGTTTTGGGTCTTTCTAGATACACGCCAAATATTGCAGCTCGTGCTGAGATTGGTTGTCATTCATTAAAGGTAAATCAGTACATTAAGATTGTTAAATATTGGGTTCGCCTCCTGTCTCAAGTTGAGAATGTAATCTTAAATAAGGTATATGAGTATCACTATTGTCTTGCTGAAAAGGTATAGATTGTTGGGCTTTTTAAAGTGAAATCTCTTTGTACAGTTATGGTTTTGGCAATGTTCTGGGCCAGTCAAAATGTTGGAAATATCTCTACTTTCATATCATTATTTAAGCAAAGATATATTGATATAGATAACCAGTTGTGGTCATCTCGTATTATACTTGTTTCGAAATTGGATTTTTATCGCAGGCTCAAAGAGTACGGTAGACATTTAGGTCTTATATCCATCTGAAGTGAAATTAGCCCAGTTGTTTACATCAAAGAATACTTATATTATAAACTGTCTTGCAAAATATCTTTTTAGCCATGAAAAACGAAATAAATTTCTTTCAGTCTTCGTAACCACAAATGTATAACTGTGCAGCTCTCATGATGTTGTACGGTGTTCTAATAATTGAATATTCTGTACACCTGATGTATAATGGGCCTGTGGCCACATTACTGAATAAAAGCTCTCTCACCATTAAGTGATGCACACACTACTTGTATTGTGTACTGACTGACTGACTGAGTTTGGTTTTACGCCGCTCTTAGCAATATTCCAGCAAAATCCAGGGGACACCAGAAATGGGCTTCACACATTGTACCCATGTTGGGATTCGAACCCGGGTCTTCGGCGTGACGAGCCAACGCTTTAACCATTAGGCTACCCCACTGCCCTGTATTGTATAAGTCAGTGTAACAATGTCAAGTTATTGATTTGGTTAAGTATCTAATCTGACACGCAGTATACCAAAATTGGCATTAACTAAAATCGCTCATAAAATAACATGTGACCTTTACATGTCTTGTTAAAGTTCACTTTAGACCTGAGTGTGATACGAACCTGCATGTATAGTTACGGTATTCCCTCTCGATGTGTTTTCACAGTCTTTGTCAATAGGTTACCCGACAACCACCTTTACGACAATACTACACTATTGGCAGCGTATAAACTGCATTCCGAGGAATTGGTTTTACTCGCATGCGATCAATGTTATGACTGTATTCATTCTCCAAGAATGTATTTTTATCCATAATGTGAGTGCATCATTGTCTGTAACTTGACTGGCCAGGGTGAGGGATGGTCATGGCTGTGTTCAGGGGTCTTACAAGGGCCGTCAAGAGGTACATGTTGGTCCAAGTGAGATATGTAGCATACGTCAAGAGGTAAATTTGGAACTACATGGGGTATTTAGACCTTGGTGTTGGTCCTGGGTGGGTCAAGAGGTTTTCCTGGGATTATAGGGAACATATTGTTCTGTGTGGAGGGGCTGGTTGAATCAAGTGGTTTGCGGTGGACTATATTGGAGTTTTCCACCAGGTTGTAAGGGCTATGTGGATTAAGAGGTTTGTGTGGGACTATATTGGAGTTTTACACCAGGTTGTTAGGGCTATGTGGATTGAGAGCTTTGTGTGGGACTATATTGGAGTTTTCAACTAGGCTGTAAGGGCTATGTGGATTTGGAGGTTTATGTGGGACTATATTGGAGTTTTACACTAGGTTTTTAGGGCTGTCTGGATTGAGATCTTTGTGTGGGTCTATACTGGATTTTTACACCAGGGCCCGGTTGTTCAAAACTCGGTTATCTTTTAACCAGCCGTTAAGTACATTTAACCGCCTGTTAACTAATAACATCGGGTTATCTTGTTGTTCAAAACTCTGTTAACTTTTAACAGGATGTTAACGTGACGTTAAGTTAACACACCTAAGGACCGCCGCTAACTATTTAACAGTGTGGTTAACTCGAAAAATGGCGTTCATGGCTAACGCTGCTTTCATGATGCCAGTTCAGCAAAGAAAGGATAGGGTGTATCGTGGACTGGCTTTCCAAATTGGAAATTATTCTGACGAAGAGTTACGAACATGCTACCGATTTGGGAGAGTATCTATAGCTTACCTTTGTAATATTTTGCAAGGTGATTTGCAGCGTCCGACAAACAGGGGCCACGCACTGACTGTGGAACAACAAGTGTTAGTGGCCCTTCGCTTCTATGCAAGTGGGAGTTTTTTACAAGTTGTTGGGGACACCCTGGGTATAGACAAGAGTACTGTCTCTAGGATCGTGCGTGATGTGACCGATGCCCTGGTGGCAAGACGTAACATTTACATTTCATGGCCCACTGACAATCGACACATTCGCCAAATTGAAGATGGCTTCTTCGTGCTTGGAGGTTTTCCCAAAGTAATTGGATGTGTAGATGGGACACATATTCGTATACAAGCACCTTCCCGAGATGAACCTGCATATGTAAACCGGAAAGGATATCACAGCATAAACGTGCAGGCTGTGTGCGATCACGAAGGTAAACACCTCCTTCAACTTGAACAATTAGAGTGGCTTCCCTTGGTGTTTCAAAAATCGAACATTATATGTGAAATCAAACCAATCCTACTTTAAACTTTATTGTCGAACTTTTATCATTTTGTCGAAACTGGCCAGTAGATTTTATCATTTAATATGGGAGAGTGGTTTGTTAAACAATCTAACTGATTTGACTCAAAGAGTTCATTAATAGATGTTGGCAAAACGCAATATTACAATTTTAGCACATGTATATGAAGCGCCTATAAAATGTATCTAAATACTTTCGACTGTTTTTTTCTGTTCACAATGTAGCTGAAAGTTTTAGATTTGCATTCATATATATATAAATGGCAATAATGAAACAAATTGTAAGTGGTAATAATTCCCGAGCATTAGAGAACAGATTGACTTGTTTGGAATTTAATGCTTTTCATAAACTAGAATCTCATAAACTATTTGTCTCTGGAATCATCTGTGATATGAACTTGTGTAGTGGTTTCTCTAGAAATTATTTAACTTATCTAAAATTAAACATTTAGTCACCTTTTATTGTATATGACCAAATTAATTAGTTACACTATGAAGTTTTTAAGAAGGGATTCATTTGGGTTCTTTTTGCCCCAGTCCGCCTGTGTGTGGACAATATAACCAATTATCTATTATTAAGTTCATGATATTTCGTGAATACACCAACTGCATAACACCGTCTCTAACCACAAACCCAAACGGGTTGCTCTCTATTCGCTCACAGTCTTAAAACAACATTTCATGGTCTGTTGACTGTTGATTTCGCAATGATAAACCACCTAAACGGTCCGTCCCTTGTGTCAGATGTTAATTAGAGGGGTACCATTAAAGAATGTATTCTACTACAATAAGCCTATTATTCCCTGGCAAGGGTTCACTTTTATGACATGTAATAAACTATGGCCAGTCAGTCAGTGGGTCCGGTAAACTGTTATTTAATCAATGATGTAACGTAGGTCTATGTAATTTGTGTTTATGCAAACCGTGACAGGTCAAAACTATTTGCGCTTTTTGTGGATAATAAGTAAAACCATACACTTAAACTGTATTTTTGGAAAATGCTAGCCATATCAGGGCAAATATGACAGTTAATGCCAATTTTTGACACCTAGAACAACAAGGATGCAGACGAGAGAAGTTATACCAGGAATAATCTACAACATCTTATAGTCTCCTGGTTATAGTTGATCGCATGGGAGGACGAATACACTCCTAGGAGGACGAATACACAGTCTATACACTCACGGGGATCCTTGGGAAAGGAGAAACTGAAAGAAGTAGTGGTAAAATCCTTCCTAAATTTCCAAAGATTTCCAAGCCTTGGAAATATCATCTTTCAATTTTGGAAATTTTTGGAAATATCATCTTTCCAAATTGGAAATTTTGGAAATCACCATTTTTTTCTAGTGAAGGCAGCGACTTCTTCTTTAAGTTTGTCCTCGAATTCCTTCTGCCTCCTTTCGTCGATATTTTCCTTCTCAGCTTCCTGAAGATCAGCTTCACAACTCTCATACATCTCATTTGGGTAGCACTCGCCCCCCGTTTTCAACAACCATATTCTATAACATGTCTATCAGATCTTTGGTAAATTTTTCCTTTTCTTCATCCGTCCCTCTGTTGTTGACAGCAGTAAAAACGAAGACTTGTATCAAACAGAAACTGCTTCAGTCTCGTTGGAATATCTCCAAGATAGTTGTCAATGGTGTCATCTGCCTTTTCCAAATCGTCTTATCCAGTAAATACAACAATCACAAATCTTTTAGCTTCTTCTCCAATGCATTGCAGGAACTTTTCCAGTGTATTTTTGTCTTCTTCAGTGAACCTTCCAATTCTTATGATGAAAAGAAAGGCGTGTACTCCAGGAGATGACATACCGACACATTTCATGACCTTTTTCTTGATGTCTTCGGGTGATCTGCTTGTGTCACAATAGTCGGGGAATTCAACAAGTTGCAAGTCGTACCCAAAGCGTTTAATGCTATGCTCTTTACTTTCCTTTGTAACAGACATTGCCCTTGCGCTTGCTCCGAATATGTTTTCCTGCTTTCCTGCTCCACATATTGTATTCCCTGTTTCACATTTAACTACTCCAGTCTTTCCAACAAGTACCATTGAATTTCCCTCACCATAGAACGTGTAGGATTTCCTGCGAAGGAGAATAATCATGGTCTCACACACTCTTCTAAACAATTATATCACATTATATTGACAATTGACTTTTAACCATCTACCATTAGAAAGCGATAAGATCAAATACTAGTTTATAAATGTTGATTTTCAAGCTACTAATTATTGTGCTCATAAATATGACCACAACCTAAAGATTTAATGACATGATTGTAATGCTCTCGTTTTACTCAGCTCTGACTACATGCCAAGCTAATGACAAGGAACCATCCGAGTCCTAACTATCTGATCAATCATCTCAATTGAAAATATCAATGAATACAATTCAACATGTCCCCAGGTGTTTGCGAAGAAGGTAGCCATGGTTCGCTCTATGGGCAGCACCCATCACTATTTTCATAAATTCTTTGTGTGTTGTACAGAAACCAAGAGTGTTGGGCATATAATGTATTTTACGTGGTTCCTGACATTTTGAATTTACAGTTTCTTACTTCTTTTTATCACTTTATTTGTTTATAATGGGTTCATAATTTATGCATTTGTGGTACGTGTAAATATACAAAGAATGGACATGGGTGGTAAATAATCCGTAGGCTATAGGAATACATTGTTGTTTCAATTTATGTGTAACCGGCTCACTGTTCAATGCTGCTTTCTTGTACAACCAATGTTTGGATAGGAAAATACCTTTGTGAGCCATGGCAATAGGTAGGCCGTTTGAACAGTCTGAAATGAAGAAAATGTAGTATCAAGACAAGTGTGCGTATTCTCATCTGAATGGTCAATGTATAAATAGCTGTTATGGTATGCACAGTTACTTTTTCCCCGTTAGTATACTTTCTGCAGGTATTTTCTATCTGTATTTACGAAACGCATATCCGTGATCTGTATCCTTTGCTTGTTGTTTAATGTGACAATCAGCATTTTTCAGGGTATATGTAAATAATCGAGTTTGAACCAAACAACCCAGATGGAAACGATGATATCAACCAAATACGTCCGATCATGTTAGTCGCCCTTAATGACTGAGACGGTTTGTCAAAGACCAATTATAACCCGGATGTTTACGAGTGACATGTTTAAGAATTGTTTTGAAAAAATACTTAGGGAATCCTTATCATTAATTTCCATTATATCTTCTCACTATAGTTTGTTTGACTTCATTTGAGTTGATGATTTGCTCACGAACACAAAATCTAATAAATGCAACAAAATCAAACTGTGCACAGTCACATGACAGACCAACACTGATAATTTGTCTCCTTATTTTGGACACCCGAATAAAAAGTTGTTTAATAAACGATCATTATTTTGTTGTCACTTTTCGATATTTCTTACGAGGGAGGCCCACTTGCTGGTAGAACAGCCATGTGCGAGGTGTACGTGTGAAATTGAAATTTCACTGCACACGCTTGTTGATTACCTGGGTGCTCACCTCACCTCACCTCTTGTACGTGTGAAATTGGTACAGCTATGATAAGTACCGGTTCTGCCCCACCAAACCACCGCAACTATATTAACTACAATACAGATTAAAGTGGTACCATGAAGTTGCTCTGTACAGTCTATGAAAAAGTACAGGTAACTGTGCGCAGAATATTTTAACTGTCATTCATCTCAGTTTTAAGTCTTTATATCAGTCCACCTACGATTATATACAATGACAATTGACATTCTAAAGTGACGAAATTCTTCTTAATCCCAGGGATTCCTGTGGGATTCCTGTGGTAGGATAAGCAGCGGGATAACCTGCTTGCAGTAGAAGGTATAAGGTGTACCACTCAGTAAACACTGACACTTTTTTAAAACTCAACATAAATATGGCACCCACATTGTTGGTAATAATTGTAAGGGTTGATTCTTTTGAGTTTCTTGTGCCATACGCGCGACAATGACATGCAGGAAGTTTGAGCATGGTCTTGGCGACTGACGTGAAAAATTGTAGTCACAAATCGTGCAAAGAGCGTGAAAGACAACAATCGCGTGCAGCAAGCTCTTAGATCACCTTTGTGATTGCACGTGTATTATGTGATGGGTAGTCTTAAAGCTAGCAGAAATGCAGCAGCCCAGGATTGAAGTCGTTAGACAGATTACAATCTTTGGACCTGTGAGCTTCTGACGGGCACCGCTGCAGATCGCCCTAGGTCCGAGGCGCTGCGTGTGTCGTCACATCAAAATGACGTACAAATCGGGTTACAACTGATTTGTGGCTGCAAATTCTACTAGTAGTTGATGCTCATACGTTGAGCGTCCACTCAGACCAAGGGGCATCCACTGCGAACTGCAGGTATCCGTGCTTTGTGACGAAATATAGGACCTATCTTGACTCGTCTTAGTGTGCTCAGCGTTTACGATGGATCCGGAGAGACACGCCAGTGTATCGCAAGGGTGTTATGTTCGTGAGGCCGATTGATTTGGAGGTCATTTGCTTGACCAGCATTTTGAGACAATCTCAAATGATCATCGTCCAGGAAAATCTAACTTAACCTGTCCAGTTAAATAGAGGGGTCATAGAATGTCATGCATTAATTTACTATTAAGTGATTCACATACACGCGTCAATGCTGTTCATCCTATTGTTTGCTGATGATATTGCGCTTTTGACTTTACAGTTATAGGTCTGTAAAAGAGGCTAGACAAGCTAGTTTCGTATCGTTACAAGTGGACATTGAAAATAACGAAAAGTTCCATTTGAATGGACAGTTGCTTAAAATTGTTGCATCATATAAATACTTGGGTGTTCACTCTCTTCCTCTGGATGATGGTATGTTACACAGAAAACTTTTGCTGACCAAAGCACGGAAGGTGTTGAATATTTTCAAATCATTGGTTAAGAATTTGTATAATCTACCAATTAATGTTCTGCTCCATATATTTGATGTCAAGGTTTGGCCGTTGTTACTATACGGAAGTGAAGTCTGGGGTTTCCACCCGTCGCCATCTGTATTGAATGTACATGATAGGTTCTGTAAACAGGTTTTGGGTCTTTCTAGATACACGCCAAATATTGCAGCTCGTGCTGAGATTGGTTGTCATTCATTAAAGGTAAATCAGTACATTAAGATTGTTAAATATTGGGTTCGCCTCCTGTCTCAAGTTGAGAATGTAATCTTAAATAAAGGTATATGAGTATCAGTATTGTCTTGCTGAAAAGGTATAGATTGTTGGGCTTTTAAAGTGAAATCTCTTTTGTACAGTTATGGTTTTGGCAATGTTCTGGGCCAGTCAAAAATGTTGGAAATATCTCTACTTTCATATCATTATTTTAAAGCAAAGATATATTGATATAGATAACCAGTTGTGGTCATCTCGTATTATACTTGTTTCGAAATTTGGATTTTTATGAAAACGAAATAAATTTCTTTCAGGCTCAAAGAGTACATGTTGGTAGACATTTAGGTCAATAGGCCACATTTTACCCGACAACCACCTTTACGACAATACTACACTATTGGCATGGGCGTATAAACTTCATTCGAGGAATTGGTTTTTTACTCGCATGCGATCAATTATTATGACTGTATTCATTCTCGTCAAGAATGTATTTTTATCCATAATGTGAGTGCATCATTGTCTGTAACTTGACTGGCCAGGGTGAGGGGATGGTCATGGCTGTGTTCAGGGGGTCTTACAAAGGGCCGTCAAGAGGTACATGTTGGTCCAAGTGAGATATGTAGCATACGTCAAGAGGTAAAATTTGGAACTACATGGGGTATTTAGACCTTGGTGTTGGTCCTGGGTGGGTCAAGAGGTTTTCCTGGGATTATAGGGAACATATTGTTCTGTGTGGAGGGCTGGTTGAATCAAGTGGTTTGCAGTTGGACTATATTGGAGTTTTTCCACCAGGTTATGTAAAGGAGCTATGTGGATTAAGAGGTTTGTGTGGGACTATATTGGAGTTTTACACCAGGTTGTTAGGGCTATGTGGATTGAGAGCTTTGTGTGGGACTATATTGGAGTTTTCAACTAGGCTGTAGGGCTATGTGGATTTGGAGGTTTATGTGGGACTATATTGGAGTTTTACACTAGGTTTTAGGGCTGTCTGGATTGAGATCTTTGTGTGGGTCTATACTGGATTTTTACACCAGGGCCCGGTTGTTTCAAAACTCAGAATTTATCTTTTAACCAGCCGTTAAGTACATTTAACCGCCTGTTAACTAATAACATCAGGTTATCTTGTTGTTCAAAACTCTGTTAACTTTTAACAGGATGTTAACGTGACGTTAAGTTAACACACCTAAAGATTCACTTCGCTAACTATTTAACAGTGTGGTTAACTCGAAAAATGGCGTTCATGGCTAACGCTGCTTTCATGATGCCAGTTCAGCAAAGAAAGGATAGGGTGTATCGTGGACTGGCTTTCCAAATTGGAAATTATTCTGACGAAGAGTTACGAACACGCTACCGATTTGGGAGAGTATCTATAGCTTACCTTTGTAATATTTTGCAAAGGTGATTTGCAGCGTCCGACAAACAGGGGGCCACGCACTGACTGTGGAACAACAAGTGTTATTGACCCTTCCTTCTATATGCAAAGTGGGAGTTTTACAAGTTGTGGGGACACCTGGGTATAGACAAAGGTACTGTCTCTAGGATCGTGCGTGATGTGACCGATGCCCTGGTGGCAAGACGTAACATTTTACATTTCATGGCCCACTGACAATCGACACATTCGCCAAATTGAAGATGGCTTCTTCGTGCTTGGAGGTTTCCCCAAGTAATTGGATGTGTAGATGGGACACATATTCTTATACAAGCACCTTCCGAGATGAACCTGCATATGAAACCGGAAAGGATATCACAGCATAAACGTGCAGGCTGTGTGCGATCACGAAGGTAAACACCTCCTTTCAGCTTGAACAATTAGAGTGGCTTCCCTTGGTGTTTCAAAATCGAACATTATATGTGAAATCAAAGCCAATCCTACTTTAAAATTTATTGTAGAACTTTTTTATCATTTTGTCGAAACTGGCCAGTAGATTTTATCATTTAATATGGGAGAGTGGTTTGTTAAACAATCTAACTGATTTGACTCAAAGAGTTCATTAATAGATGTTGGCAAAACGCAATATTACAATTTTTAGCACATGTATATGAAGCGCCTATAAAATGTATCTAAATACTTTCGACTGTTTTTTTTTCTGTTATTCACAATGTAGCTGAAAGTTTTTAGATTTGCATTCATATATATAAATGGCAATAATGAAACAAATTGTAAGTGGTAATAATTCCCGAGCATTAGAGAACAGATTGACTTGTTTGGAATTTAATGCTTTTCATAAACTAGAATCTCATAAACTATTTGTCTCTGGAATCATCTGTGATATGAACTTGTGTAGTGGTTTCTCTACCAGAAATTATTTAACTTATCTAAAATTAAATGAATTTCTGGAAACCTCTAATTCACTGCTCTGGGTATTCAGAAACTAATAGTTATGAACCGGACCCCATGAAAAATTCAACAATCAATCTGTTTCTATCTCGGGAAATATACACTTACAATTTGTTCATTATTACCGACTATGAATAATCTAAAAACTTCGGCTACGTGTGAACGAAAACGTCATGTTGGGTATACATTTTATGACGCTTCATCTGATATGCTGTCAATGCGTGCCAGCTCGGCAATGGGCTTTCTTTTGGTCCAAAATCGATTGAACGTTTACTCTCCCCATGTTAAATGATAGGCTCTGCGGCCAGTTTCAAAGATGAGGGTACACGGCATAA